ACAAAATGTCCTGCCCTCCATCCCTGCCTGCCCTCTGGATCCAGAGGGATGGCTGCACCCTCTGGGAACTTTGCTCATGAAGCCATCACTGGGGGCTGAGCTTGTTCTGAAAGACCTTTCACAGAATCCTGGAACATCCTGCGTTGGAGGGGATCCCTAAGGATCCTCCAGTCCCACTCCTGACCTTGTCCAGCTCAGGACCGTGGCCTGAGCACAAAGGCTGGTGCTCAGGGCACAGTGTGACACCAGAGCCACGCTCCTGCCAAGCCACATCCCAGTGCTGTGCCCAGACTGGGGGCTGCAGAGCTGGGAAACACCTCAGGGCTCGCCCTGCCTGCAGGACCAGCCCCTGTGCCCAGGTGGGTTTGGGAGCTCCGCTTGTTGAACCCAGAGCAGCCCCTCTTGGTGCGGTGTTTGGGGCTCCAGGGACCCCCTGGATGGCAGAGAGCAGGAACTGAGCAGGGGGGATGTGGGATGTGGGATGGATCACAAAACCCTACACCTTTTCACAGAATCCCAGAGTGATTTGGGCTGGAAGGGACATTAAAGCCCATCCAGTGCCACCCCCTGCCATGGGCAGGGACACCTTCCACCAGCCCAGGGTGCTCCAAGCCCCGTCCAACCTGGCCTTGGACACTCCCAGAGATCCAGGGGCAGCCACAGCTGCTCTGGGCAACCTGTGCCAGGGCCTCCCCACCCTCACAGGGAGGAATCTCTTCCTAACATCTAAACTAAATCTCTCCTCTAGGTTAAACCAGCTCCTCCTTGTCCTGTCTCTCTCTCTGCCCGTGTTTTCTTGACCAAAGTGGTTCCTTCTGGGTGGGGGACAACTCCCATCTCCCTGTATCGCTGGGCACTTGCCCACAGCCTGTTCCTGTGGCTCGTTGCTGCACCAAGGACTTGTTTTTTCTGAGGCTCAACGTGGTTCAATTATTTTTATCCCAGCTGCAGCCTGGGACAGCTCTTCTTGTCTGTCAGCTCTTCTTGGCTGCTGCAGAAAAATCGTGAGGGGGGGAGTGGAAAAAAAAAACGGCTGTCTGACAGCTACATCTTATTCTATTAGTATGTTTTAATTAGAACATGAGCAAGAAATGTGTTATGAATATTCATGCCCAGGGTTATTAAAATGCACAATTAATCTGTACGCGGTTTAATAACTGTATTAATGGCGGGAGGAGGTAGCTCTCCTATTTTTGTCTTTTCTCAATTGGAGAGTGTGCCTGAACTTGGGGAGCTGGGAAATGGGGTTATTTTAAAATCAGGCTGGCTCCTGCCAGCAGCGTGGGCACGTGGGCGTCTCCAAAACTCACACACCCTGCACTGGGAGAGCGCTGGGACAGGGGCAGAGCCAAGGGCTCCAACGCTGGGATGAGCTGGGATGGAGCTCACCTGTGCAAACTTAATCAGCTCAGTGCCATGGGAGATTTCAGTCACACAGTCACGGAATCCTGGAATGGTTTGGGTTGGAAGGGACCTTAAAGCTCATCTCATCCCACCCCATGCCATGGGCAGGGACACCTTCCACCAGCCCAGGTGTGCTCCAAGCCCCGTCCAGCCTGGCCTTGGACACTTCCAGGGATCCAGGGGCAGCCACAGCTGCTCTGGGAATTCCATCCCAGTCCCTCCCCACCCTCACAGGCAAGAATTCCTTCCCAGTATCCCAACTATCCCTGCCCTCTGGCAGTGGGAAGCCATTCCCTGTGTCCTGTCCCTCCATGCCTTGTCCCCAGTCCCTCTCCAGCTCTCCTGGAGCCCCTTTAGGCCCTGCAAGGGGCTCTCAGGTCTCCCTGGAGCCTTCTCTTCTCCAGCTGAACCCCCCCAGCTCTCCCAGCCTGGCTCCAGAGCAGAGGGGCTCCAGCCCTGGGAGAATCTCTGTCCCACCCCAGCTTCCCTCTCCTCCCCCTCCTCCTTCCTCTTCCTCCATCTTCACCCAGCCTGGCTGCTCCGTGCCAGCTGTGCCCAGGGGAGCACCAGGCTGGTGGGCTGGGGAAGGGGTGGTGGCACTTGGGGACCACCCCGTGTTCGGGGGGGCTCTGTGGTATGAGTGGAGCAAACCCTGCTTTGGGAGCTCTTCCAGAGGCTCCTGCCTTTGGCCAAACACTTGGATTTCACAGGGCTGGCAGAGGGGCGTTTGCTGCCAAATTGTGGCTCCTTCCCCGTAGGAAGGGAGGGAAGGGCAGGCTGGCAGGGAGTGCAGCACAGATGCCAGACGTCGGGCGCGGGCAGTCTGCTTTTTCCTGGCTCCAGCCCAGAAATCCCTGAATTCTTAAAGCACCTGCAGGCTGAAGATGGGAGGTTTTTGCCAGCACCTTTCACGCTGGTGGCTGCAGCCTGGGGAAGGTGTGAGACCTTGTTTTTCCAGGAGGCATCAGACAAAGAGCTGGCACGGGCACCTTTGGGGGTGGTGGAGCCTCGGCTGCTTCCAAAGCCATGGGATGCTCTTTGCTACAAGGGTGGGACAGTGATAACCTCACTTCACCTCTCTGGGGGTCTCTCTGCCATGCTGGTGACACCGCAGGGTGGGAGCAGCTTGTGCCAGGGGTTTCTCCTTGTTGAAGGGATGTGTGAGCCCTCCCCTCAGCTTTTGTCCCCTGTGCCACCCACCCTCTCCTCTCCCTCCTTCCCTGGGGAAGCCTGGCAGGTTTGTTTTTATTTTTCAGGGATTTTGGCACAGAATCCCAGAATGGGCCAGGCTGGAAGGGACCACAGTGGGTCATCTGGTCCCACATCCCTGCTCAAACAGGGTCATCCCAGAGCTCAGTGGCCGGGGATTGTGTCCAGACTTTTTGGGAATATCTGAAGGTTTCTGAATATCTCAAGGGATGATTCAAGTGAGGGAGAGTCCACAAGCCAGGACAAAATTCACTCTGGGCTTCCAGGCAGCCCAGGTCTCTCCAGAGACTGCGGTGCTGCAGTCCTTGTCCTTCCAGAGCAGAGGGATGAGCGTTCCAAGGATGTCCGAGGCTGCAGATCCTGCCCGTGCCTTCGCCCTGACCCTTGGGGAGCTTTAAAACCACCCGTGACAGCAAAATGACTCCAAGGAGCATTTCTGCCTCCTGCCTCGCTGGGGTTTGCAGGGATTGCAGATGAATTGCTTTGGAAAAACACATTAGCAAAGCAAAAGTTTATTCTAGGAAGTAGGAGGTGGGAGAATTGGCAGTAATTCTCCCCAGTATCCAAGGTATTATTAGAGGCTTATCCCTGCTCTGCACAGTAATCACATTGGAAATTTTTGATTAGAAAACAAAATCTAAATGAGAATTATGAATATTCATTAGGTGTGGAGATTAATATGCATAATTATGCAAATTAGACAGCAATTAAACACCAATTCTCTGGGGAAATGATTAACACAAAGGCACCGAAATAGAAGGATGTAATTTGAAAGAAGTTTCTGGTTAAATGAACAGTGAGGGGAGCGGAGGAGACAAATCCGTGGCATGTTTGCCATAATAATCAGCTTTGCCGAGCTGGAATGGGAGTGAGCCCTGTCCCCCTGCCCCTGCCCCCGTGTCCTTGCTCCCACACACTCCCCACCCCACTGTCAGCACCGCTGCAGGCAGCTCCCTGCTCCCAGCACAGCGTCCCGGGGCAGCTGGCAGGGAGAGCCCCCAGTGCAGCCAGGGGGTGATCCTGGATGCTGCCAGGAGTGCCATGTGCTGCTCCATGACCAGTGTGGCCCTGAGCCCCTGTGTGGGGTCGGGGTTGCCGTGGGCTGGAGCAGAGAGCTGGCCCCAGCCAGTGCCCTCCACACTGCTCAGCCTGCCAGGAGCTGGCATTTCTCCTTACCAGTGTCCCTGCAGCCTCCCCAGAGGTGGTGCCCCCACGCTGCCCAGCGCCCTCTCAAACCCCTGCATTCAACCCCCCGAGCCTTTAAAGCCCTGGTCACCCAGCAGAGCGGGAGGTGGAGCAGCACAGTCAGAAATGCTGCTGCTCTCTTCCAGGCAATGCTCATCCTGTGCAGTCGTGGCATCAGCTGCACCTCCAGCAGCTTTGCTTATGCAACACCCCAGGATTTTTGTGTCCCAGTGGGAATTTGCATCTCCCTGAAGGGGACCCAGGAGAGCTGGAGAGGGACTTTGGATGAGAACCTGAAGAGATAGGACAAGGGGGAATGGATTCCCACTGCCAGAGGACAGGGTCAGGTGGGACATTGGGAAGAAATTCCTCCCTGTGAGGGTGGGCAGGCCCTGGCACAGGTTGCCCAGAGCAGCTGTGGCTGCCCCTGGATCCCTGGAAGTGTCCAAGACCAGGTTGGACGGGGCTTGGAGCACCCTGGGCTGGTGGAAGGTGTCCCTGCCCATGGCAGGGGGTGGAACTGGATGAGCTTTGAGGTGCCTTCCAACCCAAACCATTCCATGATTCTCTGGCTCCCCAGGGTGCCTCGTGTGCCCAAGAGCTGCAGCCTGGGTGGACCTGGCAGGGGATGAAAGGAGCCCATTTCCCACCACAGGCTGTGCAGGCTCATTGCAAAACCCTCCTGGTTGGTCCTTTGCCATTTGGGTGAGATCCCCTTTGCCAGGGATGTGCTTGGAGATAAGCAGGAATGTGCTCTGATGGGCCCCTGCTGACATCACACCTTGACACCATGTCCTTGTAGCTCCATGGACAAAAATCAGGTCCTGCTGGAGAACTGGGATGGGTGCACTGGGATGTTTTCGACTCACAGTCCTCTTCACCGTCAGTCTGTGGGGGGAGGAGGTTGATGGGTGCTCTCTGGAATAAAGGAGTTAAAATGCTTGTTTCTCCTCTTCCCACTGTCCCGTGTTTTGAAACATTTCCAGGCTGTGGTGGGATTTGCTTTGAAGTTCGTGGAATAAATCCCAGCGGGAGTGGGAAGGTGAGGAGGGAGAGGGGAGGCTCACTCACGCCAAGTGGAAGTGGTTTATTAATGAAAATATTGGTTTGTTTGTAGAAGGAAGAGTTAATTTTACGAGAACACCTTTGAGGCTTTGCTGATAAAGCAAAGAGTAACCTTTGTTCTTCCTGTTTTTCGGCAGGCTTGGATGAAAGACCGGGATCAGGTTCCTGGGGAACGGGAGATCAAAACAGCTCCGCGTTTGACCAAGGAAGGGTAAGGACAAAGCACCAACAGCCACCTCCAACCAAAACAAAAGGGGGCTTTCCCAGGCCTTTCAGAGCACTGGGTCTAACCCTGGAACAGCTTCTCTTGCCCCGTTTTGGCCGTGGGTTCTGTGAACCCTGCGGGGGTGACAGCAGGGCCTCCCATCCCCGTCTCCCCAGGCTTCGCTGCCTTGAGGTCCCCTTGGAGAAGGTTTCTCCTCCAAAAGCCTCCCCCAGCCCCACTAGGGTGGTCTCCCATGGCTGCTCAGGCATCTCCCCTCCCTGCACAGTGTTGGTGTGGGAGAGGGGCGTTCCTGGGTGGGGGTGGGACAGGTCCCCAGATGGGGTCACAGTTGAGTGGGCTGAGGATTTTCACCGGGTGACAAAGCTTTCTGGGCTTTGGGAGACCAAGAAGGGGATGCAACCACATCATCCAGCCAAGGTGGCCTTAGTGGGGATAGAGAACATGGCAGGGGTTTTGCAGGAAAGGAGTCAAGGCTGCAACAGCTCTTGGCTTGGACCTGGGGAGGGAAAGAGAGAAAAGACATGAACTTAAGTGGAAACAGTGGCAGATGCTCGTGTCTAATGGGTTTGTGCCATTCATTTTTACAATGGCACCTTCCCCTCCCCTCTGGTCGGCAGCGGAGCTGTTGCTGTGCTGTCGGCTCTCATTTATATATTTAGATCTCATCTATTTATAGGAATATATTAAAAAATCATATTTATATTTATCCAGCCTTTTCCTAGCCCCTTGGCCCCCCTGGCTCTGAGAGGGCCTGCCTGGCTCTCGCCTGGTGAGTGCCAAACTGCCTGAGAGCTGCCAGCCTGGGGCAAACCGTGGTGCCACATCCCCTCCCAGCGCCACATCCTCGTGGCTGCACTGCCCAGCTCTCCTCTGGCATGAGGATAAAAAGCCTTTTCATAAGGAGCCTTTGCCCCTGCCAGGGGGAGGTTGGGCCCTGACAGTCCTGGGGTTTGGCTCAGCCCCCCCTGGCTCCAGGGTGACCCTCTGGTGTTGTCCCAGCAGAGCTACGGCGAAGGGCCCCACTACGGCGAGCACCGGGACATGCCCTCCCACAACAGCATCTCCTCGTCACCATTCCTGGGAGCAGGGCTCGTGGGTAAGTGCCTTCCAGCTGCCTGGCAGGTCCCCAGGGCGGGGGACATGTGGCACAGACTGGCCCGTGGGGGTGGGAGCGTTTGCCATCGCCCAGCATTGCCGTTCCCTGTGTCAGACCCGCTCCGGGTGTTCTCCAAGCTGTGGATCCAGAGGGTCTCATCAGTGCCCGACCTGTGGGACAGCTGCTGTGTTTTGTGGGGGGGGTTATTTTTCTCTGCTTCACAGGAGCACCCAGAGGCAGGTAGCAGGGATCAGTGCCTGACCGGCAGGCACAGGGTGGGCTGAGTGTGCTCCTGGGGGATGGTAATCAGGGGTGGGAGAGCCCCAGGAATGAGGGGGAGAGAAGACACGCTCATTGTTAAGGATTTAGGACAACATTAAGGACTTGGGATGAGCCTGCTTGAGCGGGGAGGTGTGACCAGATGAACCCACTGTGGTCCCTTCCAACCTGACCCACTCGGTGACTTGAATTGCAAGGGGCTCGTGGATGTGTCGCTTCCCAGCCTGGCAGCCCCTGCAGAGAACTGGAGGTGCTGCCCTCACTGCAGGGGGATTTGGAGGGGCCTTTTCCCGTGTCCTGCAAGGTTCCAGCAGCCCCACCCAACTCCTCCATCCCCAGCTCCAACAGGGCAGTGTGAGGAGCTCACAGGGACCGGCGAGTGCCGGAGATGATGATCCTGCATGACCGGATGTGTGTGACCATTTACCCAGTTACCTCTCCCAGCTCGGGGGTGGGAGGAGAGATTAAGAGCAGAAAATACCCATCCTGGAGGGCTTAGAGAGCTCTAATGGCATTAGGTCAGGAATTGGGGTTAGTCCTCCCCACCTTTGCCCACGCAGGGGTGATTAAACCCTCGGGCAGGTGTGGAAGGAGCAGTGCTGGGACAGGACCCGCTTGGGTTTGAAGGAGGGGTGGGAAGAGGGAATGGTGTTTGAAACAGAAAATCCCCCCCACAACAGGACCTCCTGCAGAGCTGGTGGGAAAGGGGAAGAGCAGAGCAGGCTCGTGCTGGGAAGGGAGCAGCCACACGTTGGCTGCTCCTGGCTCAGGTCGGAGTGAGGGGCTCGCTGTCAGCTCTGCTCCCCCCTTTCACCCCTCCTGCTCTTGGGGGGACGAAGTTTAGTTGCCCCTGGGGGCGGGGGTGTTGTGTGCAGGTGGAGGAGCATTTCTGAGCAGCTCCCCTGGCCCTCTGCAGGGGTGGTTGTTCCTTCTCATTTCTGCCCCAGGAGGATGTCGGTGAAGCAGAGGAGACGTTTCTGAGCGGGACGGAGCAGCCTTGATGCAGCTTGGCAGGGTTTGGGGGGGGATGTGCGTGGGGGGCCCATCCCAGCCCATCCCACACCTGGGGCCAAGGCAGCCTTGAGAGTTTCCAGCCCAGGAGGAGCTGCCCGGGGAGGAACACGGAGGTTTCCCCTTTGATGTGTACAGGGAAGACGCCTTTGGCTCCCTCTCAAAGCCGGGGCTCCCAGTCCTTGGCAGGCACCGCGGCACTCCCGGCGCTCCCGGCGGAGCTGCCGGCCCGACCGGTCCCCGGCACGTGGAGCTGGAGCCTCCACAGCCCCAGAGGGTGATTTCCAGTGGCTGGCCCTGGAGCTGAGGGCAGTCAGTGGCCTGTGGGACAGTGGCCACGCTCCGTGCCCGAGGCTCAAGTGGCATCTCCGCAGGGTCCCAGCCCGGGCGGTGGGTGCAGCACCGGGAGCTCCAGTGCCAAAACAGGAACAGCAACAGCCAGGGGTGTAAAGGGGTTCTTCACATTTCAAAGTCTCTTTTGTTCCTAAAACTGGGTGTGGTGAAGTAGAAAGCGTCAATTCCTGGAGCAGGTTCCAAAATACATAAATAAGTTTTCAGTGTAGAATCATGGAATGGTTTGGGTGGGAAGGGACCTTAAAGCCCATCCAGTCCCACACCCTGCCATGGGCAGGGACACCTTCCACTAACCCAGGGTGCTCCAAACTCCATCCAGCCTGGCCTTGGACACTTCCAGGGATCCAGGGGCAGCCACAGCTGCTCTGGGCAACCTGTGCCAGGGCCTCCCCACCCTCAGAGGGAATTTTTTCCCAATATCTAATCTAAACTTACAATCAAATCTGAACCTCCTCATGTGCTGAGCAGGATGGACCCAAGGAAGACCACAGGTGGAATTTTCCCTTCCTCTTTTCCAAGCTGCTTCTGAAAATTTTTCAGGTGGACAGATGCTGAGGGGTGGGGAGGAGGAACAGGCAGGGAAATAAAATAGTGCTTTTGCATACAGTAGTGTGAAAGCAGTGGCAGAATGGGAGGGAAAGGACAGTTTTGGAGGTTTGTCACTTCAGCTACCAGTCCCTTATTGCCATCAAGGTCCCCCTGGGCTGGGAAGCTCACTCCAGTGGGGAAAATGAGCAGAACCAGGAAATTTGAAAACTGGAGGAGATGGAGGGAGCAGATGAGGATGAACATGTTCTGGTACTTGGTGCATGAAAGGTGTGTGAGACATCTGAGCCCTTCTCCAAAATCTGAATTTGTGTCTCTTTCCCACTTGATCTTGTCTCTTCAAGAAGGATCAAGAACTGCTGAGAGAAACATTTTGGGTGGAATAAGGATGATCTGTGTTGGCAGTGGCGGGCTTGGCCAGCCAGAGATGGAGGCTGAGCTGGAAGGGTCCCCCAAAGCCAATGTGGACATTGGCTTCCCGTGCTGCTGCAGGCTCTGAGCACAGTCCTGGTGGTGCTGGCCTCCTCCTGGGACCCCTGTCCTCTGGATTTTGGGTTCCTGGAGTCAGTGCATGTCCCAGGGCCAGGCTGCAGCCCCCCATCCTCTGCCAATGGGCTTTAGGGACAGCGAGCACCTTCCCAGGGCGCAGGGACACCGCTGGACCGGGCAGCACTTGCTGGGGAAACAGAGCCAAAGGGTGATTTTTTTGGCTCTGTTTTCCACGTGGAAAAAGAGGCTCCTCTCTGACCAGGCTTTTGGTGGGCTGAGGAGCTCCTGCCAGCCTGAGCTTTGAAACAATCCTTTCCAGAGTGGAGATTCCCCCTGCCCCTGCAGGCCGGTGACATTCTGGGGCCGTGAAGTGCCCGAGGAGGATCCCGGGGGCAGCCTGTGCTGCCCTTCCCTCATGAAGGGATGTGTATCACCACTGTGTCACCACTCAAACTGATCTGACATGAGCAGAGGGCAAGGAGAGGGAGTTGGGAGCTGCAGGGTGGGGTGGTCCTTTGGATGGAGGAGCAGTGGAACGTGTGTGTTCATCCAGGGTTCTTCCCGCTGTGTCCCTGCACTGGGAGCTGGCTTTGCAAACTCCACGAGCAGACACTCCATGAAAAAGGCAGGGCTGGAGGGATTTGCCTGGCCCAGGAGAGAGGGAACATAGATGTGAGCTCAGCCAGAGTAGGGCACCGCCAGCACATCCTTGAAATCCCTGTGGGGCTGCAGCCCTGCCCCTTGTTCCTGTCCTGGCAGGTCCCTTTGCTGTCACCCCAACCCGTGCCCTCCTCCCCTGCCCACAGTCCCCTCCTGGAGCAGTGAGGAGGGGGCTGCTCAGCCCCTGGGGCAGAGCTGGTGGAGCACAAAGCTCTGGTGCACAGGCCAGGCAGATTTAATCCCGTTGTTCCCTGTCATTCCCTGCAGGCAGGCAGTGGTCCCAGCAGTGCTGGCAGCCGGAGGGACGGTCCCTGCCTGCTCCTCACAGGCAGCCCTGGTCCAGCCCATCCTTGGGGTGGTGTCCCTGTGGATTGCAGGGTGCACACCTCACCCAGAGCCAGCTGGAAAGGAGAAGCACTGAAATCTGCTCAGCTCAGACACAGAGATGTTGGATTTGGCCTTAGGGATGTTCTTTTGTTGAACGTCTGGCACGGTGGGATTTGCTTTGGGAGGCCCCTTCAGCACAGAGCAGGGAGGGCTGCCCTGGCGTGGGACCTGTGGGAGCTGCCCTCAGAGCTGACCTTCCTCTGCCCCCAGGGCTGCCCCAAGCTGGGGGTGATGCCCCTCCTGCACTCCTGGAGGGGACAATGTGAGGGGAATCCTCAGTGAGTTCCCTCTGCCACAGCTTCAGCTCCACGAGAGAGGAACAACCAGAGCTGTCTGCGGGACTGACTGGGCAGGGGGCTCTGGGCTGGGTTACACTGGGATGGCATAACCTGAATTTACAAAAAGAAGAAGAAAGTAAATTAGAACGTGTCCAAAGGAGGGACACAGAGCTGGGGAAGGGTCTGAGGAGCATCTGAGCTCTGCTCTGGGACCAGGGACAGGTCCTAGGGAATGACTGGAGCTGTGCCAGGGGGGTTGGGATGGATCTCAGGGAAAGGTTCTTCCCCCAGAGGGTGGTGGGCACTGCCCAGGCTCCCCAGGGCAGTGGGCACGGCCCCAAGACTGCCAGAGCTCCAGGAGCGTTTGGACAACGCTCTGAGGGACAGGGGGGGATTGTTGAGGTGTCCTGTGCCAGCCCTTGGTGCTGTTCCTGGAGGACAAGGGACATCCTGGGGACTTCTGAGCATCCCAGCCCGGGATGTGGAGAGGTGACAGGAGGGTCCCTGGCTGTCCCAGGGTGGTGCCAGGACACGGTGTGGTGACAAACCGGCTCTGCCCAGAGGATGAGGAGGATGAGAGGAGCTTTTCTGTCTGTTTGCAATCACCAGCTCCACAATTTACTGTTCATCTTCAGCGGGGGCAGGCGGGGAGGGGGTTGGTTAAACAGTGAGGAAACTGATAAGCCAGAACAGATTTCTTTCTAGTAATTATTTCCAGTAATTAGCTGCCTTTCAGAGCAGTGTTTCTAATCGGGTGGGTATTGTCAGAGACTGTGTATTGGGGTCTTCCTGGACAATGACTTTAATCGGGGGGTTGTTGCTGCTCCTGGGTTTTTAACTTTTTTTTTTTCCCTCCCCCTCTTTAATCCCTGGCTGTGTTTTTCCTCCCCTTTTCCCCCAGGCTGGAGCTCTAATGGAATTATCGGTGCAGGGCTGGGGGAGGCACGTGCTGGGTGGTGGGAGCTGTTTCAGGATGGGGTGATGGCACTGGTTTTCCCAGCAGGTGCTGCAAAAACTCATAGGCAGCACTTAAATACCTTTTCTTGGGGCGTCCTGTGCAGGGCCAGGGGCTGGACTCTGATGATCCCCATGGGTCCCATCCATCTCAGGACACTCTGTGAGTGGGGCTTGTCTTGGGGAGAGAAGTGGCAAAGCCACAAGTCCATTAAAAAGCAGTTTGCACCAGTGGGGATGAAATGCCACCACAGTCCAGGTGCCAAAGCCAATCCCTGTTGCTGCCAGAGCTGGTGGGAACCTCGGGGAAGAGGAGTTTTGACTGTGCCACCCTGTCCCTGGGCTCAGGAGCAGATGTGCCTTTGGGAGGAGCCAGCACAGACGGCTTGGGGGGGTTCTCTGGAGAAGCCCTGGGTGAGGGCAGGGCCTGGGGGAGGCTTTCCTGAGCCTGGCACAGCCAGAGCCTGCAAGAGGGAACGTGCTGGAGATGCTGAATGCTCCCAAACAGTTTCTGGGGGCACCTTGCTCCAGGTGCCTCCACAGTGCTTCACCCTGGCATGTTGAAAATCTGCAGAGGTAAATCCCACAGGGAGGATTTCCAAAGGAAACCCCTTTCCTCTTCAAGGGATTTATTCCCAGTATCTCCTGATCCCCCTCCCACAAGAGCTCTTAACACCCGTCTGCAGGATTTCAGTAATGCTGTCGGGAGCACGACGGCACCTGGGGAGGTTCCTGGGGGTTTCTTTGCCGAGAAACTGCCTCCATCCTGGTCCCTGCCTCCCTCCTGGTCCCTGCCTCCCTCCTGGGGCTCTGCCACCTTTCCTGGGCAGTGCTCTGGGCTGTGGCTGCCAAGGGGTGACCAAGGGGACTCCGGGTTTGCCGCCTGTGCCGGTGGCATCTCCCTGCCCACGGAAACAGCTCCTTCTGCTGGCAAGTTCAGCTGCTTCTGGCCCAGCCTGTGGACTTCTTGAATTTCATCAGGCTGAGTTACCCGCCTGGAAGAGTTTGCCATTCTCTTTTCTGCCTTGTTTTTGTAGGAAATTAAATGTATGATTTCTACTGCTGAGGTTTTTGCTGCTTTTCCCCTTGTTATGGGATGATGGAGGGTGCAGGAGCTGGGGCTGGCTGGGGGCTGCCCTCTCTTTCCCAATCTCCCACATCCCAGGAGGCTCCCACTGATCCAAGCGTGCAGGAGACCCTGATACTGGGCACGTTAACCAAGCAAGGCATCAGAGACCACCCAGAGAAGGTTGTGGGTTTGGAACAGTGCAGTGCAGAGCTGGCCCTCGGTTCAGAGAATCCCAGAATCTCCTGAGCTGGGAGGGACTCACAGGGATCATCCAGTCCAACTCCTGGCCCTGCCCAGGACACCCCAACAATCCCCCCTGTCCCTCAGAGCGTTGTCCAAACGCTCCTGGAGCTCTGGCAGCCTTGGGGCCGTGCCCACTGCCCTGGGGAGCCTGGGCAGTGCCCACCACCCTCTGGGGGAAGAACCTTTCCCTGAGATCCGAGTCCTCGTGGCTGAGCATCTCCCCATGGCACAGGCTGAGTCCTTTGCAGCGTGGCCGGCGCTGCGGCAGATCCAGCCCTTAAGCTCTTTTAGGAATTAGGTCATTTAGGGGATCCATCCTCTGACATCCTGACCTTTGTTTACTTAACGTTTAAGCCTCTGAGAGGAAAGGGCAGCAGTGCCCGGGGGACCTGTCTGTGGCTGCAGGTGAGGGGTGGGGGGTGCTGGGGAACTGTGAGCTTCCCATTGGGAATGGGGTGCTGGGGCTTGGGGCTTGCAGTGGGGGAACCCACGCTGAATTTTCTGGCTCGAGTTCAAGGCCTCCATGGTAAGGTTGCACTGTGAGCAGCCTCCTCTCTCTTCCCATCTGGCACAGGTTGCCCAGAGCAGCAGTGGCTGCCTCTGGATCCCTGGGAGTGCCCAAGGCCAGGTTGGATGGGGCTTGGAGCAATCTGGGCTGGTGGAAGGTGTCCCTGCCCATGGCAGGGGTGGAACTGGATGGTATTTAAGGTCCCTTCCAACCCAAGCCAGTCTGGGATTCTATAAAGTCCACGTGGGCACTGCTGGCATGGGGCTGCTCCCGTGTGGATCCCAACTGGCATCAACGCTCCGGCCGTGAGGAACCCACAGACCAGGAGGAGTCTGCCTGGTGGGACTGAACAGAGGGGGCTTGGCAAGGAAAGGAGTGCTTTCCTATTAATCCCCCCTCTTCAGATCTGGATGGGGTTTGGAAAGTTGAATCCCCACCAGGAGAGGGGGAGAAGGTGACCAGGGCACTGGAGCGGAGCAGGAGCGCAGCTCTCGTGCTCTGGGGTTGTATTTCCTGTTGTCTGGGAAGCGCCTGTGGAGTCTGGTCACACATCCTGGCGCTCGGTTCGCTCCGTCCCTGCCTCTGCCAAGTTCAGCTGGCTGGATCTGAGGTGTCTGCAGGGATTTTTTTGGCTCTGGGCTGACACTGCCAGTTTCCATGGCCACGGGCACTTCCCTGCGCCGCTGCAGCACCAGGGTTGGTGTTTCTGGACCCGCTCTCCCTCAACTTAGAGCGGCTCCTCTTTCAGCACAAGCGTTTTTGGGGGGCTGTCGCTTCCGTGGAGGGTGGGGGGAGCTGCCTCACAGAAACAGGCTTTGCCCCTCAGCCTGGCCTGGGTGCTTGGGGGCACACAGAACACATCCCCTTCCCTCTTACCCAAAGCCTTGTCTTTCCTCTGCAGGGAAGAGCAGTGACAGAGCCTCATACTCCACGTTTGGAAGAGACACAGGGATGCCAGGACTAAACCAGGTAATGATCGAATGCAGGGTGATTTTTTTGCCTGGTTTACTGGCTCCCAGGAGTGAGAGCCTGTGAGTGAAAACCAGCCTGGGGTTTGCATCTCCCCTCTGTGCACGGGGTCCTGGAAAGCCTCTGCTCTGCTCCAAAACCTCTGTGGAGTGTCAGGAGTTCACAGAGGCGTGTGTTGCTGGCTCAGAAGAGTTGTCAGAGGTTAGAAAATGTTGGTTGTAGCAGCTTCTCACTTCTTTTCCAAACCTCTTCAGTCAGGCTCGCTTGTTTTGTTATTGTTAATCCTGGCTTGTATTTAATCAGCCATGACCCAGCTACGCTGTCTTGGTGGGGAGTTCCAGTGAGTCAGATCCAAGCAACACCTTTCCCTGTGCCAGGGTGGCCAAGGAAGGAATCTTCTCCCTCCTACTGCCTGCCCTGGGGCTCTCTCTCTGTCTCTCTGTCTCCCCAACCCAAAAATCCCCCAGTACCCTGTGTCCCATTTTAGGGCAGGGAGGTTCCATGAGATGGTTTCTGTGCTGTTGTATCATCATTTCAGTGACTGTCGGGCAGTGGTTTTGTTTTATGGTGGGGACCCACAGACAAGTTCTGTGTTCAGCTCTGGGGCACCAACATCAGGACGTGGAGCTGCTGGAACAAGCCCAGAGGAGGCCACAGAGATGCTGCCAGGGCTGGAGCCCCTCTGCTCTGGAGCCAGGCTGGGAGAGCTGGGGGGGTTCACCTGGAGAAGAGAAGGCTCCAGGGAGACCTGAGAGCCCCTTGCAGGGCCTAAAGGGGCTCCAGGAGAGCTGGAGAGGGACTGGGGACAAGGGATGGAGGGACAGGACAAGGGGGGATGGCTTCAAACTGACAGAGGGCAGGGATAGATGGGATACTGGGAAGGAATTGTTGGCTGTGAGGGTGGGGAGGCCCTGGCACAGGTTGCCCAGAGCAGCTGTGGCTGCCCCTGGATCCCTGGAAGTGTCCAAGGCCAGGTTGGATCAAAGGAGCACCCTGGGCTGGTGGAAGGTGTCCCTGCCCATGGCAGGAGGTGGAATTGGGTGGGCTTTATATCCCTTCCAACCTGAATCATTCCAAGATTCCACAATTTCCACACTGCAGGACGGTGGCAGAGCCTCCTCTTGCAGCCACAGCCCAGCCCCGCCAGGTCACCCCGTGTGAACCCCCGGGCCGTGCCGGGGGAATGAAGGACGCGCTTCCTGTGGGGAATACCACGGGCGTAAATCCGAGCCCGGGAACGCGGTCCAGCAGCCCTGAGATAATCCACCAGCATCCAGAAATAGTCTGTCTGGAAGGAGCGAGCACCTCTGCTTTGATGTGCTGCTCCCAGTGCCCCCGTGGGTGCCCAGAGCGGCTCCAGGGGAAACAGTCCCACCATTTGATCTGCGGGAGGGGCTCTTGGCCGGACAGCTCTTATTTTATCCGTGTACACACACGCACACATGACATGTTTTAATTTTGCACAAATTGGTCATAATTTCCTCCTCTCTGAAGTGAGGATGTTTCCTTTGCTGGAGCAGCTGTGCTGGCTGTGCCAGAGTGGATTTCATTTACCGCTGAAGCTGCTCAAACAAAACCGGGCCCGGTGCCAAGTGTTGCTTTTGGATGTGATGGTTTTGCTGGGCTCTGGTGGAGGAGGGGAGATATAAGGTAACACAGATGGGGGGGGAAAATGGTGCTGCAGGGCTCTGGATCGGGTGGCAGATCCCATCTGATGTGGGGGGGGGAGACAAAACCCCCTTGTGTGGGGCTGGGGAGGCGAACGGAGCCAGCTGTGACCCCCAGAGCAGTTGTTGCTTCTGGCTCCCATTTGCGGGGAGTGAGGGGAGGGTTGGCCTTTTTTTTTTATTATTTTTGAAGAGATGAAAAATTTCCTGGTGGAGATGCCCTGGCTGGGGGAGCAGGTTCTTCCCAAAAACACTCTGCTCCGAGGCAGAGCCGTGGCTTCCTCCTTGTGCAACTCTGAACCACCTCCAGAGGCATCTCGAGGGAGAGGGAATGGGAAGAAAACTCTTTTCTCTTGGAAATGGCCTTGAAATCCCAGAGATGCCCACGGGAGGAGCTGGGCAGCAGCTCCCGGGATCCCTCTGGGCTGCTTTCCTTGGCAGAGCAGGTCCGGTGTGACGGTAACCTGAGCGCTGGAACAGATTGCAGGAATGTCACCAGCTGTGAACACACGAGCTCCTCTTTCCCTCCCTGACCCCTTTCTGGAGTTTGAAAGCAGAGTTTTTTCCTTCCAGTTTCTCCAAAGCCTGAAATCCTCCTTTATTTCCGTGTGTTGCCCTCGGAAGATGGGTCAAAGCTGAGCTTTTGGGACTTGAAGGGCCCTTTGGCAGCCCTGTGCAATTCCATGTAAATACACTGAACTTCCTCCCGAGGTGAGGGGGGCTGGAGGAAAGGTGGGATTGCTCCATCCCAGGAGGGTTGGAGCACCCTGGGCTCCGGCTCCCCCAGCTCTGTGCTGCTTCCCAGCGTGCCCAAGGTCAGCTACGATAAACACAGGGGAGGAGTTTCCTGGTTTTAGAAAGAGGGATTTGGCTTTTCTCTGATAAAACACAAGAGAAAACCACCCCAAGCAGCAGCAGCAGCTTGTTCTCAAGCAGGGCTTGCCCATGTCTGGATCTACCTGGGAATAAACCATTTTGCTTTTGCCAAAGGCCGAGCTCAGGTGTGAGTCTAACTTTGGAGGGAAGACAAGTTCCAGTTCCCCAGAACTTGTGTTTCTTGTCACAGTTCCCCCTGGACCCCCCAGAATCACTTTCCTGCTACTATTTTGGGCTTTCCCAAACAAACAGAACTGGCTTATCCCACCCTCCTGAGCAGCAGGGTGAGCTGGGACCCCAACACTCCCACCGTGGCACCTGCAGGGTGAGCTGGGACCACGATGCTCCCCGTGATGGCACCTGCTGGTTCTCCTCCTCGGCTTGCAGGGGTTCCTCGCTGGGGTCCAGCAGGAAAACACAGGCTGAAAGACCCTCTTGTTCCTCCACACCTCCCCCTCCATCTCTCCCCCCATATTTACGGGTTTGTTTTCCCTTCTGGCCCCTCGGCTCGTGTTTGTTTTTCCCCTCGGCCGAGTCGCTGGGAAGGTGTCTCAAAGCCGCTCTGTTCTCTCCCAGCGAGTCGTTTTCCAGCCTCATTCCATGGAAGGGCTTCTCTCTCTCTCCTTGTTTGCAGAGCGGGTTCCTGCCCAGCGAAATGGGAATCGCCAGCCCCGGCACTCTGTCCCCCACGGGGGGCAAAGGGGGGTCCCAGTATTTCTCTTACCCCAACAATCCTCGCAGGAGAGGTGCTGAGAGCAGCATTGGTGAGTCCCCACGTGCCATGGCTTGAGGGAACCTCAGGGGTGTCACCTGAGGCAGCTCTGCCTTTGGGAATGGAGGAACTGAGGCTGGGAATGTTGGGAATGACAAACTGATGTTGCCAAGTGTGTACCTGGTGTGAATTTGGCTTTTGGGTTTTTTTTTTTTTTGGGGGGGGAATGCATAGAAATATCTCTGTGTATCTATATAGAAATATCTGACTTTAAGAAAATAAAGGGCTCAGGGTCAGGTAGAATTCCCTTCTTCCTGGAAAATGTCAGATTAGATGAAAGCAGCAAATGGCTCGAGGTTCTTCTCAAAACACCTGCAGCCACAGTGCACATCACTGGGCATTCCTGAAGACCTTGGAATGCCTTGGCAGCTGTTTTTATGGCCGGTGGCCCTCCCTGGAGCCCAGGAACAGGTCATTGCAGGGTAGCATGAGGTCCAGACACTGTGCCAGGACACGGGACACAGGGAATGTCCACTCTCTCCCTGCCTGCTCCCAAGTTCCCAAGCAGGAGCCCACGTCTGGATCTACCTGGGAATAAACCATTTTGCTTTTGCCAAAGGCTGAGCTCAGGTGTGAGTTTAACTTTGGAGGGAAGACAAGCTCCAGTTCCCCAGAACTTGAGTTTCTTGTCACAGTTCCCCTCCAGAATCACTTTCCTGCTGCTATTTTGGGCTTTCCCCAACAAACGAAACCAGAAGTGACCCTGTGTGACGGGTGGTTTCTCAGTGCTTTTCAGAAAAAGGCTGCCCCCACCCATTTTCAGCCTGGAAAATGATTCTTTTGTGTTCTATGGGATTAATTTCTCCTCCAGAGAAACATCCCAGCAGAGTCCCTGGCTGTGTTAGCACCCTGCCCCCCTGCCCCTCAGCCACAGCCATCCTTAATTATGAAAATTAAGGACCTTAGTTATGAAAAATAATAAATAATAATGATGAGAAATAATAACTATTAAAAATACAAATTAGGAAAATATCAAATTAAAATATCAGAAGCACTGGTTGTGCTTCCCTTGAGCCACTCATGATGTTTCCCCACCACCTCCCTGAATTGTCCCCCCCCCCACAGGACACTGTCCCTCCAGGGCTGGACCTGCAGGGATGTACTGGGGACTGGTCCTGGGAAGCACATCCCTGCCTCCTGCAGCAGTGAAGCTTTCCCAAGTATATCCTTGTGTAAGGAGAAATGAAAATACAACCCAGCCCTGCACGTGTTCCCTTTCTCCACAGACCCACTTCAAGTTAAATTGTTTCCCAAAAAAGCCCCAGCAAGGGTTTGTAACACTAAATACTATTATATTTATGGGCTCACTCTCTCCCAAGGAGCCCTTCCTTGTGGGGTGGCACCTCTTGCTGCCCCGGGATCTCTGTCTGTGGGTGAAACCTGCCCCCAAAAGGTGCAGATGAGATTTGGAGAGGCTCATCCTCGGACACTTTGACCATTGATCCTTCCTTGGCTGTGGGACATTTGGGATCTGAGCCCTGTCTGTACCTGCAGCTTCCAGCCCTAGAAATTTTTGCTGTAGGTGGTTTTCCCTCCCACTGACCCCCTTCGAAACTTAGACCCTCTCTTCTCTCCCCTAACCCAGATGGACAGCCCAAAAAGGTTCGGAAGGTGCCTCCTGGACTCCCCTCCTCGGTAAGTGGCGGCAGCGTGTTCCGTGTTCCCCGCGGGCATCTCCTCCCTCCCTTGGGAATTATCCCTGCTCCTGGGAGCTGCCAGGGCCCTGCAACCCCAAACAGCCAGGGTTTGGATTTTAGCAGGATGGGGAAGGGTTTTCCCAGCTCCCAAGCAGGACAGAGGGGAAGTGATGGGAAGGAGAGCTCCTTAGGGAAGGAGCATTCCCGGTGCGGGGGCATTCCTGGTGCGGGGGCACCTCCCCAGCCGGGGCTCTGGCCCCGTGGCCTCCTGCCCTGCTGCCTCTGCTGTGTCTGACGTTATGTGGCGAGTGAAAGGCGATCCTCAGGGCTCGGGTTTCACTCCAGGAGGGAAAGCAGCGCCGTTGGAGCAGGCTCCAGGTGTGCGTGCCCTGCGCGGGCTGCGCGGTGGGAAAGCCGAGCAGCCTGCAGGAATACGCTCTCCCTGCTCCCGCGGCTGCTCCAGGGGAGCAGACTGAACAATGTCTTTGTGGCTGCGAGTAATGGGATCTCCAGGAAAGCTAATTGGAGCGGGCTGGAGGGTTCCTGCAGGAATACGGGAGCTGTCTGGCGGCCGAGGCTGCATTCCTGGCTGGAGCGTTTGCGTGCTTGGAGGGGGACGGGACGGCTCTGTCCCATGGGCTCTGTCCCATGGGCTCTGTCCCCAGGCCGGGGCTGTGCCCTCATCCATGTCCTGTCACTCCCTGCCAAAGCTGGTGCTGGTGCAGTGCTCCCCCACTGCCCAGGGGACACCCCCATCCGTGGGGGAAATCTGTGCAGTTGCATTCCCTGTCTCTGCTGGCTGTAACCTCCACCACAGGCTCGGCCTTTGGAAGTGCAGCCTGAGGTGCTGGTTTGGGAGGATGGAGGGGGAGGAAGGCACAGAGGGTTTGCCAGGTTGTGCTCGCAGGCTGGAGTGTGTTGAAGGGTCGGTGTGGATCCACATGGGGCAGAAACCACCTCCAGTGAGCAGGGCCGAGTTGCTCCAAGTCTGTGTTTTCCCTGGGAAAACCTGCTTGGAGCGGAGTCTGTGTCGCTGCCTCGAGTTTCTGTGTGAAGTGTGGAGCTTTCAAATCCAGTCGACATGTGGGGAAAACATCGCTCCCGACAAATGGCCTTTATTGGCCTCGGATTTCAAAGTGTCGGGACTGGCCCGGTCCTGCTGGCGGTGCCCTGCAGGGCCCCGATTCCCACAGGAAAAGCCGCTCGGCTTTTGCCAAAGCCCAGCCCCTTCCCTGTGCCTGAGCCAACACCTGCACAGTGGCCTTTCATAGGATCGTGGAATGGTTTGGATTGGAAGGGACCTTGAAGCTCATCCAGTCCCACCCCCTGCCACGGGCAGGGACACCTTCCACCAGCCCAGGTTGCTCCTTTGATCCAACCTGGCCTTGGACACTTCCAGGGATGGGGCAGGCACAGCTTCTCTGGACAACCTGTGCCAGGGCCTCCCCACCCATGAGGGTGAATTTCCTCCTCACATCTCCCCTAAATCACCCTCCTTGCCCTGGCTGTCACCTCGGCTGCCCCTTGAGGCCAAAGCTCTGATTTTGGGAGCACAGGCTGGTGCTGCCTCCTTCCCTCACCCTCTCCGTGCCGTGAGCTCCGGCTTCCTGCTTTGTTTTTGAACTTCCACACCTGGGGAGAGCAATCCGTGCCGAGGCGGCAGGAGAAGTGTGAAGCAGAAGGAGTGGCCTCAAAGGCAGCGGATCAAAGGCTCTTTCTTGTCTGACTCGCCCGTGCAGGAGCCCGCCCCGTGTTATCACTGGACCCTGTGCAAAATAAATAGGTTAATCAGCATCTTATTAAAATGAAGTGCTTTAATCCGTAATTCCCGAGCTGCTTTGAAAACTCGCCGAGGTCAGCGGCTGGAAGGGCTGGGGGTGGCTGGAGGGGGAGCGGTGATGCCAAAGGCACCGAGAGGCACCGGCAGTGTGAGGGGGATGTGAGGGGCGATGCCAGGCAGGGATGGGCACAGAGAGGCCTGTTCTGGTAACCTGCAGCCTTCGGGCTCAGTGCTTGTGTCCTGAGGAGGCCCCGAAAATGCTCCAAAGGCTGGAGCCCCTCTGCTCTGGAGCCAGGCTGGGAGAGCTGGGGGGGTTCACCTGGAGGAGAGAAGGCTCCAGGGAGACCTGAGAGCCCCTTTCAGAGTCTGAAGGATCTGGAGGCCCTTTAGGGGAGCTGGAGAGGGACTTTGGACAAGGGATGGAAGGACAGAACAAGGGGGAATGGCTTCCCAGTGCCAGAGGGCAGGGTTAGATGGGAGATTGGGAAGGAATTGTTGGCTGTGAGGGTGGGGAGGCCCTGGCACAGGTTGCCCAGAGCAGCTGTGGCTGTCCCTGGATCCCTGGAAGTGTCCAAGGCCATGTTGGACGGGGCTTGGAGCACCCTGGGCTAGTGGAATGTGTCCCTGCCCATGGCAGGGGGTGGGATGAGATGATTTTTAAGGTCCCTTCCAACCCAAACCATTCCATGATTTCAGGCAAGAGGTGCTGGGCTCTGGTTGCCCTCAGGGCACGAAGCCTCTTGGAGCCTCCCTGCAGCTCTGGAGCTCCTGACCACAGGCTGGTGTGTCCAGGCACAGGACTAGGACTGGATAGGGCCCCCCAGGCCCTGCTGCACATCAGCTGCTGAGCCACAGGAACCCGGGGAGGGATTTTGTGCAAGTCCATTCCTGCAGGATGTTGTTGCCACAGCGAGAGCGGAGCTGTTTGAGCCTGCGAATTCCCAGTCTGGTCACTGCTCTGTTTAGCCTCAGTCTGCCCCAAGTCCCACCCCAGCTCCTGCATTTGAGCAAGAAAAACAGGGAGGGGAAAACAACCCAACACCACAAAGCGCTGCGAATCCCAGCGCTGGGGCTTTTCGAGCGGCTCTCGCCGCGCTGGCAATTTTAACCGGAGGAAATGACCTCACCTGGAGGTCCCCGAGGCCGCCGGCTGAGGGCTGGGGCCACGGGCTGGGGAAGGGCTGGGGAACGGGGACCTGGCCCTGATTTACTGTTTCCTGCAGCCCTTGGCCCCCGGCTCGGCCGCCGTGCCCGCACGGAGGGGCTCAGTGCTCCTCACTTGGCTGGGCCAGGGAAGGATGGAGTCGGCTTTTCACAGCCCTCCCCGGTGCTGAGCAGCAGAAATGAAAAATCTGGAGGGGTCAGGGCCAGAACTGTGGTGAAATTTGGCTCCAGCAGGAGATGGAGGGGGAGAAGGGGGTGTCCGGGATGGGGGAGCAACAAAGCGAACTCTCCTCTGCTCTGCCTCTCCCCTGCAATGCTTCTTCTCCCTTGCTTTGCACCCTCCTTGCCCCGTTCCATCCCTGTGATTTTCCCCTCCCGGTTTCCAGCGGGGATGTCGGAAATGGCTGTTGGGGCCGGCGGTTCCCCCCGCGCTGCTGCGGCACAGCTGCCTGTGGCGCTGGCCGGGCGCCAGCCCCTGGCAGATGGCGCAGGGCTCTTCAGGCGTCCTCCCCTCGGCTCCCCGGCCTGGCTCCCGCCATTTAATCAAATTACAGCAAAAGGCAATTTGCTGGGTTCTCTCCTTCCCCCCCCATCCTACCCCACCACCACCCCGCTCCGTTCCCCCCTCCCCGTGCCCGCCACGCTGGCCCCGCTGCCGCTCCAAGGAAAGGGGCCTGCAAGTCTCTTCTCGAGTGAGGGATGAAGGGCAGCTGCCAGTGTCTGTCAGGGTTTTCCCTCCCCCCATCTCTTTATTTCCTTTTTTTTTTGGTCTTCAGTTCACAGGTTCCCCCCAGAGTCACCGAGTCGGGGGTGTTGACGGAGCTCTCTCAGGTCCTCGAGCCCAACCATAACCCCCCCCGAACCCGTGTCCCCAGGTGCCACATCTGTGCATTTTTGAACACTGCCAGGGATGGTGACTCCACCACTGCCCTGGGCAGCCTGTGCCAGTGCCTGACCACTCTTTCAGTGAAGACATTTCCCCTGATATCCCACCTGAGCCTTCCCTGGCACAACTTGAAGCTGTTTCCTCTTGTCCTTGTGTCTGCCTGGGAGCAGAGCCCGACACCCACCCCAGCTCCCCCCTTCCTGTCAGGGAGTTGCAGAGCCAGAAGGTCCCTCCTGAGCCTCCTTTTCTCCAGGCTGAGCCCCCCCAGCTCCCTCAGCTGCTCCTGCTGCTCCAGCCCCTTCCCCAGCTCTGTTGTCCCTTCACCCGCTCTCCATCCATGGCACCAACGCCCACAAGGTGATTTCAGCTCCCTGTGGCCCTGCAGGGTCCAGCCACACGTGGGGAAGGACCAGGGCTGCCCCTGGTGTTCTGAACACCCCAGTTTTGGGAGAAGCTGCTCCAAGAAATGGGAACCTCAGCTGCCAGGGGAAAATGAAGCCGTGGATATGTTGAAGTGCAGCCACTGGTGCTTTTCAGAGGGGTTTGGTGGGATTTGGGAGATTTTTTTTGTCAGTGTTTTGGGTTTTTTTTAACAAAAAGAAGCCTGGAATGGGCTGCCCAGGACAGTGGTGGAGTCACTATCCCTGGAATTGTTCAAAAGATGTGTAGATGTGACATTTGAGAACGTGGTTTAGAGGTGAAAAAGGTGGTGGTGCTGGGCTGAGGGCTGGACTTGATGATCTTGAGGGCCTTTTTCATTTCCATTTCCTTTTCCAACCTAAACCATTCTGTGATTCTGGTTTTTATTCTCCACCACCCATTCTGCCCCTTCTTGCTGGTGAGGGGCAGGGCTGGAAGGGAGCAGCTGGCTGTGAGGAAAGAGAAACTCAGGGCAGGTTTCCTTCCCAAAGAGAGCCGTGTGTGCCAGGCAGAGCCCAGCCTGTCCCCGCCTCTGCTTTCAGCTGGATTTAAAAAAAAAAAAGATTATCGGTTTCAGAATGAATCAAAGGGGATGAAAATAAGCTGTGACGAAAGTTCTCACATCATTTTGAGTGCCATTTCAGTTTCTTTGCGTGTTGAATTTCTGCTTTTTTTACTTTAAAAAAAAAAAAAAAGGGTTTATTTTTTGCCCTGGCACAGGTGATTTTCAGTCAGGGCTTTCTAAGGATGGGCTTGGTTAATTTAGGAAGGAAGGAAAGGCCTTTTCTCCTGCTTAATGTGCTGTTAAATCACGTAGCTGAGCAGTGCTGCAGAAATCTGTCCCAGAGCTGTCCCAGAGCTGTCCCCCTCCCCCTGACAGCCCTTTTGAGGAGCTGCTCAGCCCTCAGTATCCCCCGTGCCACACTTTCCCTTCGAGCTGCTTTGTGTGGCAGGTTTGGGCAGGGGAGCCTGGCACACCCCAGGGTTGGCACAGGGGGTCCCAAGGCCAGCCCCCAGCCCGCGGGGTCACCCCACAGCAGTGGTGGCTTTTGTGGTTACCCAGAAAAACTTTATAACCACGGAAAACGGAACTGGAGCCGAGTCGAAACTTCTGCTGGGGCCAGTGAGTTCTGCAGGAGGGGGCTGGGGGACCCACGGGGTCACAGGAAGGCAGAGGGGCTCTGTCCCCTGTCCCACTGCCCTTCAGGGACTTGGGCTGAACCTCTCCAGTGCTCCCCAGATCTGCTGTGGGATGAATAGAAGTGAAGCTCAGGGACTCATGGAATGGGTTGGGATGGATGGGACCTTAAAGCCCACCCAGTGCCACCCCTGCCATGGGCAGGGACACCTTCCACCAGCCCAGGTTGCTGCAAGCCCCGTCCAACCTGGCCTTGGACACTTTCAGGGATCCAGGGACAGCCACAGCTGCTCTGGGCAACCTGTGCCAGGGCCTCCCCATCCTCACAGGGAACAATTTCTCCCAATATCCCATCTATCCCTGCCCTCTGGCACTGGGAAGCCATCCCCCCGTGCCCTGTCTCTCCAGGCCCTTGAAAGGCCAGTTGAGTGAAACACTTGCTGCTCTGTTGTTGTGAGAGAGGCCACTCAAACCCTGCTGAAGGTTAACTTTGAAGCTTAAATTTGAAGTTTAGGCTGTGCAGGGTTAGGGAGAGGCAAGGTGAGGATGTGGGGCCTTGGAGTGGCCAAGCAGTTCTCTTCAACCCTTTTCCTGCCCCACAGGTGTATCCATCCAACTCAGGTGATGACTACAGCAGGGATCCAGCTGGATATACTCCCTCAAAACCTCCCAGCACTGTGTATCCTGGAGCCTTTTATATGGCAGGTGGGTTACTCACACCCTGGGGCAGAGCAGGGGCTGCCTGGATTGGTACAGACCACGGGAGGGATTGGATGGAGGCAGCTCAGGAGTGCAGGAGACAAAAAGCAGCCCTGAAATCATAGACTTATGGAATCTCCTGAGCTGGAAGGGACCCACAGGGATCATCCAGCCCAACCCCTGGCCCTGCCCAGGACACCCCAACAATCCCCCCCTGTCCCTCAGAGCGTTGTCCAAACGCTCCTGGAGCTCTGGCAGCCTTGGGGCCGTGCCCACTGCCCTGGGGAGCCTGGGCAGTGCCCACCACCCTCTGGGGGAAGAACCTTTCCCTGAGATCCATCCCAACCCCCCTGGCACAGCTCCAGCCCTTCCCTGGCTCCTGTCCCTGGTCCCAGAGAGGTGGTCCCGATTTACTCAGCAGATGATGCTCAGTGCAGACAGGACACGATGGGGACAGTCACAGCCCCTCAGCCCAGGCTGACCTGCCCCTGGGGGACTGGGGGCTGCCTGTGGTGTCTCTGCCCTGCCCAGCTCCACTTTTCCTTGCAGATGGACTCCATAACTCGGCAGACCTGTGGAGTTCCCCGGGTGCCATGAGCCAGTCGAGTTACGGTGCCATGCTGGGCAGCTCCTCCTCCCCACTCCCACAGTCCAGTGGCTTCAACAGTTTACACCAGCACGAACGCATGGTAATTCATCCCCTGGGGCTGGGGGGCTCTGTCACCTCCGTGTCACCTCCTTCCATGGCTCTGGGCACGGGGGACCCGGGTCCTGGCCCCGATGCCACAGCCCAGCAGCTTTCCCAGGGCTCCTCTCACCCCTCTCCTCCTCCCTGCCAGAACTACCAGCTGCATTCAGGAGAGGTGAACGGGGCACTCCCCTCCGTGTCCGGCTTCTCCTCGGCCTCCACGCCCTACGGAGTGTCCAGTCACACGCCCCCGATCAGCGGCACAGACAACATGATGGGTATGTGCAACCCCCTGGCCCTGCACAGGCTCACCTGGAGAGCCAAAGCCTTGGGCAAACCTGGTACCTGAGGCACCCAAACCCCGACACCTTTAGTCCCTCGTGTGTCACTGTGTGAGCACAGCGAGGTTCCTGCTGCTGGATGCCTGGAGCAGGGAGACAGGTGTGGGGTTTCCACCTGCTGTGGGGGATCTGGGAGGAGCCCAGGAGCTCTGGCATTATCTCTTGGAGGTGCTGTGGCTGACATGAGTTGTGGGAAGGATTTGCACCTGCGTGAAGCTGTTCACTTAAATCTGCAATGGGAATGTTCATGCTGCATTTAGACACCATTTTAACCCCTGAGTGCTTTAATCTCTGACCCTGCTGAACCTGTTGCCAAACCTGTCACTGAAATGAACTTATGCTCCCCAGGAAATGAGGATCCTGACCTGGACTTGTAGAAAAACTCTTATTTTTCCACAGGGAATCAAGTTTGGGATTCACAGAATGATAGAATCATTAAGGTTGGACAAGACTTCCAAGATCATCCAGTCCACTGGTGATTGTAGGGGCTTAAAATGCCCCATGGCAATGGGCTGTGCTGCAGCAGACACATCTGACTGCTGTTGGTGGCACCTCCAACCCAGAGCTCAGAGACACCTTCGTGCAGCCCCCTGAAAGCTGTCAGGGGGGGTGTGCCCTGTCTGGGCTGCCCCGAGCCAGACAAACATTTCATTTACAAGCAAAGCACTGAAAGCAAAAAGTTCCCACCTCAGAGCAGGTGACCCCAGAGAGGGTCTCGTAGGGTGCCATGTCCTGCTGGGGTCTGGTGCCCTGGCAGTGACATCTGTGTCCTGTCCTGGCAGGTAACAGAGGAACCACAGCCGGGAGCTCTGGAGACGCGCTCGGGAAGGCACTGGCCTCGGTAAGGGTTGGGATCATCCCTGACCTGCTCCTGCTGCTCCTGCTGCTCTGGGCCCCCTCTCCATAGCAGGGAGTATGGACACAGTGAGAAGTGTGGGTGAACACAGCCCAAAGCCACGGCAGACTCTGAGGGAGGGTTTTCCCCACTCCACGTGCTGCCATCTCGGTCCTGGGGCCTCTTGGCAGATGAGGAAACTGAGGCACTGATGGGGAAACTGAGGCACTGCTTGTTGCAGCCCAGTGACATGCCCAGCACTGCAGCCTCATGCTCTCTGCCCAGACCACCCTGCACAGCCCCCATGGCAGGACTTGCAGGTCCCAGCAGTCCTGGGCCTGCATGTGCTGGTTCAGACTGGAGGCCACTGGTCCCACTGGGTTATCAGAGTCTCCTTTGTCACCTTCAGTGACCTTTGCACAGTGGCAGAAGGGGGCTGGCAGTGCACCCTGTGACGATTCCATAGGGTTCTCACTTCCTTCCAAGGTGGGACCCGAAGATTGGAGGCTGCACTCAGGGGTGGGGACAGAGAGAGACCCCAGGGTTGATGGGGGAGCTGGGCTGGGCCTTCACCCTGGGTGTGGGTTTGGGACAGGGGTTCCCCTCAGGGGTCCCAGGGGGTGGTGGGTGCTGCTGGGAGGGGGCAGCAGCTCAGGGTGGGCGCTGCTCACTGCCCACCCTCTCTCTCCCCAGATTTACTCCCCTGATCACTCTAGCAATAACTTCTCCTCAAACCCCTCCACACCGGTCGGCTCCCCGCAGGGGCTTGCAGGTGAGTGACAGATGTTGTTCTCTGGGTCGGGTTTGCTTTTGGGAGCTTCCCAGACCAGCCCCAAACCCTCACTACAGAGCCCAGGGATGACAGTGACCCCAGGAGCTGCTCCCGCCGTTCCTGATCCTGTCCCTGAGCATCCCATCTCCCAGAGGCTGTCCCTGGATTTGTCTCCCGTGGGAGAAGCACACTGGGAACTGGCCAACCAGTTAAAACCCATTTCCAGCACCTGGTGAAAGCCTGTCCCTGCTGCCCCCGGGGCAGGACAAGGTCCCGTTGTGCCCAGCAGAACTGGTGCCCAGGCTCCCCATGCCCGGGGTGCAGCCCCAAGGTCACAGCGTGTCACTGAGACCGGGGACAGTTGGAAACCTCTTGAGTCTGAAGGCCAGAGCTCAGCTCCCTGCTGAGCCAGGGCAGTGGCTGAGCCCGGAGTGCCACGAGGTGCCATGTGGTGCCATGTGGTGCCATGTGGTGCCATGTGGTGCCATGCAGCTCTGTGGTGTCCCATGCAGTGCCGTGGTGGCACAGTGGCCCGTGCAGTGCCATGTGGTGCTGTGGTGGCCCATGTGGTGCCGTGGGGTGCTGAGCGTGGCAGGGTGGCCCGTGCACAGCGTGGTGGCCCCGGCAGTGCCGGGCCATGGCCCAGCTTCCAGCCCCATCTAGTGGCAGCCGGTGCCCAGCTCTCCCTTTGTCCCCAGGCACGTCGCAGTGGCCGCGGGCGAGCGGAGCGGGTGCCTTATCTCCCAGCTATGAAGGGAGCCTCCACACTTTGGTGAGTGGCTGCTCCTTCTCCCTCCCGTCCCCTGGGGCCTGGCGGGGAAGGATTTTTTGGGGGAAGAACTCTCCCCTGAACAGCCAGGGGCTGGAATCAGATGGTTGGTCAAGGTGGATGGATGGATGGATGGATGGATGGATGTGTCCCTGAGCCTGGCACCTGGAGGACAGCCTGGCACCCTCCCCGTGTCCGTGGCCCAGGCCCATCCTGGGCTCTGGCCCAGTGGAATGGATTCCTGGCAGGTTTCTGCCTCCCTTCCCTGAGCAGCTCTGCTGGTGTGACTGCTGTGACCCCTCGTGCCTTTAGGGGATGGCACTGACTGGGGGGGTTATTTCTCCCCATCCCTGCCCTGTGGCACTTCAGTGCTGGGATGCCACGAGCCATCCTGCAGTGCAGAGCTGCAGCAGGCTGCTGGCTTTACGGGATGGCAGTCATGGAATTGTGGAATGGTTGGGGTTGGGAGGGACCTTAAAGCCCATTCCATTCCCATGGGCAGGGGCACCTTCCACCAGACCAGGTTGCTCCAGCCTGGCCTCAGGCACTTCCAGGGACGGGCAGTTAACACAGACCTCTCTCTCTGCCCTGTCCTTGCAGCAAAACAAAATGGAAGACAGGTTGGACGAAGCCATCCACGTGCTGAGGAACCACGCCGTGGGCCAGACCGCTGCCATGCCCAGCAACCACGGGGACATGCACGGGCTCCTGGGCTCGGCTCCCCCCCACAGCGCCGCCGTGGGCAGCCTGGGCCAGGCCTTCCCTGCCTCGGTCATGGCCCTGGGCAACAGGCACCCCAGCCTGGTACGTGTGGGGGCACCATGGCAGCTGGCGGGGCCACGCTGGGGACACGTGTTGCGTGTGGGCTGCCCTGGCATCCAGAGGGATGAGAATAGCTCGGTGTGGCCCAGCTTGGGTCGGGTGCTGAATGCGTGACGTGCGTGGAAGTCACGTGCTGTGTTCCTGCAGGGAGGGCTGAATCCCGTCTCATCCCAACCCCTGCCATGGGCAGGGGCACCTTCCACTAGCCCAAGTGGCTCCAAGCCCTGTCCAGCCTTGCTTTGAACACTTCCAGGGATGGGGCAGTCACAGTTTAGTTTCTCTGGGCACACTGAGTTCTCCCTCAGCACAGACGTGGCTCTTGGCACAAGCTCTGTGTGCACTTTGTTCATGCCCCTTCTCAGGGCAGGCAGAGGTGGTGAAAGCTCTTCTTTACCTGCAACGGGGATGGAAATCCCTCAAAACAGCTTCAAACCATCCCTGGAGTATGCAGGGAGAAGGAGAGGAGGGATCCAGTGGGTATAAGAGAGCCAGGTATCACCAGGAAGGAATTCCCTGCTCTGAATGACTGGGGCAGGCACCGTGTCCTGCCCTGTGTGTGGGGAGTGCTGGTGCTGTGAGGGCTCACTCTGGCTCTAGGGAATGGAACACATTCCAGGCTCCCTGAGCGTGTGGATGCTGAGGTTCCATGCTGGGTCACCAGGATCCCCCTTGTCCAGAGGCTGGTGACCACAGCAGCACATCTCTGGCAGAACTGGTTGCAGGTCTCCAGACTCTGAACCAGTTGTGAGCCCCTGCCAGGCTTCCCAGACTCTGCTGCTGAGCGAGGAATCAGACATGATCACACGTGTGTCCTGCCAGCTGGAAACCCAGCAGGGCTGACTCTGTCCTGCCAGTCCCTGGCCTGTGTGGCACAGAAGGGCTGCCCCTCACCCTTTCTGAAGACAAGTTCACACTGCTGGGATGTCCCTCACTCTGATGGCAGTGGGTGGTGGCAGAAACTGGTGCTTGATGGAGACAGGGCATGTGTCCTCCCTGGTGTGCCGGCCTTGCATCCAGGCAGGGAGGGGCTTTTCCACGGTGGGGGCACAGCTCTGATGGGGCCTTTGGGCCGGGCCCAGCTCATGTGCAGAGCTGCAGTGTCCCTGCCACAGTCCTCAGAGAGCTGGTGCTAGAGCAGGCTGGCTCTGCCCTGCCACCTGCCTGTGCTCTGGGTGATGGGATTGTGCAAGGGGAACACACAGCTGTGCCTTAGCCCGGTCCATGGAGCCCTGGGGGTGTCCTCAGGTGACTGTCCCCCTGACCTCCTACTGGCTGTGACATGTCCCCCTTGCTCTGCTTGTTGTGCTGTAGGTGGGAGGAGGTCACCCCGAAGATGGCTTGTCCAGCAACCCCAGCTTGCTCCACAACCACGTCACGCTGCCATCCCAGCCCAGCTCGCTCCCTGACCTCAGCAGGCAGCAGGACACGTACAGCGGTAAGGCAGCTCTGCACGCCAGGGCTCACCTGTACCAGGGCTCACCTGTGCCAGGGCTCACCTGTGCCAGGGCTCACCTGTGCCAGGGAGAGAGAGTTTGGGGCACCTGTCAGGTCCAGCCCTGTGCAGCAGCAGCCCAGGTGGACACGGATGGTGCTGCAAGGCTGGTGCTTCCTTGCACGATCCACAGGGCAGTTTTGACTTTGAGCCTTTTCCAGAGGTTTTGTAGAATCCCAGACTGGTTTGGGTTAGAAAGGACCTTAAAGCCCATCCAGTCCCACCCCCTGCCATGGGCAGGGGCACCTTCCACCAGCCCAGGTGGCTCCAAGCCCCATCCAACCTGGCCCTGGACACTTCCAGGGATCCAGGGGCAGCCACAGCTGCTCTGGGCACCCTGTGCCAGGGCCTGCCCACCCTCACAGCCAAGAATTTCTTCCCAATATCCCATTTAATCCTACTAGGTTTGACCTTACATGTCCCTGTCCCTCCTGCCAGCTGTGGATGCACTGTCCCCCAGGCCCTGCTCTGCTGGAGAGGTTGGGCTCTCATTTTGGAGGGCCTGGGAGGTGGAGGGAGAGCAGGGAGCAGCAGCAGGGCAGAGCCAGCACGGCTCCATCTTCCCTGGCTGCGGAGCAACGGTGCAGGATGAGTTTGGGATGCCACAGCAGGAGCAGGGCCTGTGCACCCCCCAGGCTCCTGTATGGGTCACTCAAGCCCTGCATGTGGCTCTGCTCTCTCCACAGGTTTGTCCGGGGGGCTGGGGCGGAGCAGCGTCTCCTCGGGAACGAGCGAAATAAAGAGGGAGGAGAAGGAGGACGAGGAGAACACGTCAGTGGCAGACAACTCAGAGGAGGAGAAGAAGGAGCTGAAACCCTCTAGGAACAGAACAAGGTGCTCTTTGAACAGGTCTCTCCCTTCACTTACTCTGTTCCCAGGCTAGGGGTGTTCAGGCCGGGTGCTGGGCTTGACCCGGTGAGGCTGAGGGTCATCCTGTGGCACAGACCCCCAGCCCTGCCCACCCTGGGAGCCTGGTGTGGCCTCACACAGCCTGGGCTCCTGCTGCTGCCCCAGGGGAAGGGTCCCTGGCACCCTCCTGCTGGCTCCTGTCCCTGTGGGCTCAGGGTTTCCTCATGCTCCTAAAGCAGAGGGATGCACCTCATCCACAGAGCCTGTGTGGGCCCTCGGGGCTGTGCACAGGAAGGAGTGAGTGCTCAGCCCCAGACAGGGAAGGTTTCACCTCTTCCCTGCCTTGGGGCATCTCTGCTGTCTGCTTTGGGCTCCTGTGTCCTCTGTCACATCCAGCCGAGGAGTGGCAGCGGGTCAGGTTCCAGCTCCCTGGCTGTTCTGCAGCCCCACCACCAGCTCGGAGACCTCACCAGGGGGATGGTGCCCAGCAGGGCAGTGCCAGCCCCGCTCCTGCCCTGGAGGCAGAGGGCTGTGTCTCCCCAAATTCCAGCTGGGGATTCCAGTGTCGGCCCTCACCTTCTCGGGGCCACCCGCACTCTCCCAGCAACAACCTTTAGTTGCACTGTGGTTTCTTTCCGTGTTGTTTAAAACCAAACCAAACCAAAAAGAGGCAGAAGAAGAGCCTTCACTGCTTCTCTCCAGAGTCCCTGCGTGTCCCTGTGCCCGAGCGTGTGGCCCAGGCCAGCAGGTCCCTGGGGGCACCGGGGGCCACGCGGGGCTCGGTGCCTCGCCGTGTGTTTCTTGTCTGTGAGTTGACCAGTGCTGAGAGTGCACGCGAGGAATGTCCCTGTCTCGTTCTTATTTTAAACCATTAGTCAAGATGAGGATGAGGAGGACGATCTTCTTCCCCCAGAGCAAAAAGCCGAGAGAGAGAGAGAAAGGAGGGTCGCCAATAATGCCCGTGAGCGCCTGCGGGTCCGGGACATCAACGAGGCCTTTAAAGAGCTCGGACGCATGTGCCAACTGCACCTAAACAGCGAAAAACCGCAGACCAAACTGCTAATCCTACACCAGGCCGTATCAGTCATACTGAACCTGGAGCAACAAGTTAGAGGTCAGTGAGGGTCCCGGAGTGGTGATATTTTACGTATCTGATCGGCACGGGGCTGTCTGTCTGTCTGTCTCCTGTGACGTGCTGTGGTGCCTCGCACTGTCTCTCTCCCCCTGTGGCCTTGGGGACCAACCCAAGGCTGTTGATGTCCTTTTTAGTTTGGTTTTTTTTTTGCCTTTTTTTTTTGCATCCCTCCCTGCTGTTCTCTCCTCCGTTCCCCCACTGCCACTGCGTGTGCTGCATGCCCTGCGCCGTCACTCCCCCGCAGCCAGGGCTGCTCCGTGCTTGGCCAGCTTGGAAAATCCCCAGCCAGCAAACCTCCCAGAGGGACCCAAATCTGCCATCGACAAGGGCTGCTCCGGGCACAGGGCACATCCCTCGTGGCCCAGCGGGGCTCTGTGCTCCTGTCCCACCTGTGTGGCAGCTGGAGAACCCTGGGATCACTGGAGCTGTGCCGGGGGCAGCGGGACGCCCTGGGCTGAGCAGCCCTCGCTGCCTGCACAGACTGGTCCCAGACCAAAGCTGGGAGCTCTGCGTGTTCCGAGCTGAGCCGGGAGCTGCCGGTGGGTGCGTGCGGGGCCTGCCCCTCACCAGGGCACCCTCACGTCCTCCCACACGTGTGTGCACCCATCTGGTGTGCTCACCCTCTCCAGAGTGCACCCCTCTGTGCCCCAGCCCTGGGTGCTGCATGCCTGCGGGCTGGGAAGTGGAGGGCTGGGTGTCCCGCTCCAGAGGACTTTGCTGCTTTGCTCCCGCATCCCGCAGTGCATGTTCCCGCTCCAGCCCGGGGTGCCGGGGCAGGATAACCCCCTTTCTCTCTGCAGAGCCTGTCGTAACACGCGTCGGGGGCTGTGCCTGGCTGTGCTCCTCTCTGCTGGCCTTGCTGTGCCTTGATGTTGGAGTCCTTTGTGCCTCTCTTCAGTTTGTAATTTTTTGCCTTTCATAACATGTATATTTTTTCCTGTCTCTTTTTTAATTTCCCCTTCCTTTTGGTTTTGGTTTGTTTTTTTTTTTTTTTTCCCATTTTATTTCGAGTTTTTATTTTTTTGGTTCTGTTCTTTCCGATCTCCTACAGACAGTCCCCAGCCGTGACCTCTCGGTGGTCCCACTCTACCTTGTACTTGCTGCTCACGGATCCCAGGCAGGACCGAGGGGGGCAGGGCTTAGGCAGAGTTGGCACCGTGTTCACTTTGGTCTCCCACGCTTGTCCCTTTTTAAACCCTTCCTGGAGGCAGCCAGGGAAGCGGCTGAGCCCGGTGGGCTGCCCCGGGCAGTGTTAGTGCAGGCAGCCTGTGTCCCCTCCCTGTGGGTTTCCAGGAGAGAATCCCACTCTCACCCCCCATGGGAATGGGGCTGTCGGGTCCCTGTGTGCCCAGCCAGGGCTGCCAGGACCCTCCTGCTGCCACAGTAGCTGTGGGGCAGGAAGGGAAAGGAGGAGACTGAGGGGTTTCAGGGGGTCCAGGCAGGCAGGTCGGTGACCCCTTGGAGCAGGGCACAAGGCAGCCAGAGCACCCCATCCTTATAAACCCCTGCAAGCTGCCAGCGGTGTGTGCTGGTGGCAGGGAGGTGGCTCTGTCCTGCCCAGGTGTGACATCCCAGCTGTGACATCCCAGGAGAGCCACCAGCCAGGCCCCATGGCCACCAGCCTGAGCTGAGAGGAGCGAGCTGGGCTCCTGCTGTGGGGTGGCTTGGTAACCCCAACCCCCTGCCCGTCCTGGGTGCGTGCAGAGAAGGTGGCAGTGCCGGCTGGGGCAGCGAGGAGGGGACAAGGACAGGAACGAGGCAGCAAAGAGAGGCTGCAGGCAGGGACAGTGGGCAGCCCTCTGTCCCACACAGGCAAACACTTGCCTGGGAAGCACTTGCCCCCCTTCCTGCATCCATGCACCACCCAGAAGCCCTCCAGCACCCCAGGAGGGCTCTGCCTCTGCGGCCCCTCTTCACTGAAGGCTCATCCCCACACGGCTCCCCTGGCAGGCCTCAGTCTGTCCCAGTGCAGGGCTCAGGACCCTCCTCAGATAGGTGTCTTCCTGCAGGAGATTTTGCTCTGGGGGAGAAGGTCGTCTGTGCATAAACTGGGGCTTTGGAGGGGACGGGCTGGGGGCAAGGCCACGGTTCAAGGTGCTGCCAGCACGACTCTGCCTCCCCCCTGTCCCGGCCTGTTTCGGCTATCCATGGGGTGATGTCAACAGCGGAGGCTCTCCCAGAGCTTCTGGGTGTGCCTGGAAAAGAAAATCACCCCCTTCTGGTGGGATCCAGTGTCTGCATCTGAGTCTGATCCTCAGCAGCAGCCCAGGCACTTGGCTCCTGCCCCTGGTGCTGCCCCCAGCCCCTAAGAGGGTGCCAGGCCAGGCTGCTCCTGCTGCTGTGGCAGAAACGCCTTCACTGGGAGCTGCAGGTGGAGTTTTGGAAGGAGATCTTACAAAGAGGGATTTGCTTTCTGCCAAAAAGTCTTTTTTTTGGGGGGGGGGGCGGTTCCAGACCTGATGGTTTTGGCCGAGACCCTCCCCTAGACTTGGAGTTTTCAGCTGAAAACTGGCATCACTGGCCCTGTGGCAGCACCCTCCAGCCCCATGGGCACCCTCCAGTCCCGTGGGCACCCTCCAGCCCCGTGGGCACCCTCCAGCCCCGTGGGCACCCTCCAGCCCCATGGGCACCCAGCCTCATGCTGGCAGCACCTTCACCTGGCTCGCAGAGGTGACACAGCCCGGGCCACTCCTGGCAGCAACCCAGAGGAATTGGCTTTGCAAAGTGAGGCCGTTTGGGCCGTCTCCAGTGGACACCAGGAGCACTCCCAGCACGGCAACATATAAACCCCCCCCTTGGAATAACCCCCTGACTAACCCCTGTGGTGCTGTGAACCCAGCAGTACAGACGAGGCCTTGTCACTGGAGGACAAAGATCTGAGGGACCGGGAGAGGAGAATGGCCAATAACGCCAGGGAGAGGGTGCGTGTGCGGGACATTAACGAGGCCTTTAAGGAACTGGGACGAATGTGTCAGATGCACTTAAAAACGGACAAAGCACAGACCAAACTGATCATCCTACAGCAAGCGGTGCAGGTCATTCTGGGCCTGGAGCAGCAAGTACGAGGTATGGTACCAGCTGGCAGGGGCACTGTGGGGCCTGTCTCTCCCCCCCTGTCTCTGCATGTTCGTGCTTCTCTGTCCTGACTCCTGCTTTTGGTGCGAGGTGTGTGTTTGCAGCGCTGGCAGCACCCCTGGGGGCTGGCTGAGCTCTCCCTGGCCCCAGCCTGGGATGGATTTGAGGCTGCTCTCTCCCTCTCCCCTCCTGCTTAATGGGAATTTGGCACCTGGATCCCATTAAGCAGCTTTGGAAAACTCAGTCCTCAACTTGGAGAGCTGGTTGAGGCACTTGGGGGTTCCTGAAACAGGCACATGGGGAGGCCCTGGCACAGGTTGCCCAGAGCAGCTGTGACTGCCCCTGGATCCCTGGAAGTGTCCAAGGCCAGCTTGGACAGGGCTTGGAGCAACCTGGGCTAGTGGAAGGTGTCCCTGCCCATGGAACTGGGTGATCTTTAAGGTCCCTTCCAACCCAAACCATTCTGGGATTCTGTGTTTAAATTGGCAAGGAGCAGCTGCACGGGGCTTGTCCCCCCACGTGGTGCCGTGGGGCTGCTCTGGGGCTCTGTCCTCGCTCTCCCTCCTGGGTGCTGCTGCCCCGTGCGATGCTGTTGCCCACACTGAGGCTGCTCCCCCTCCCTGTTCCCGGCACAGAGCGCAACCTGAACCCTAAAGCAGCCTGCTTGAAGCGTCGGGAAGAGGAGAAAGTGTCCGGAGTGGTAGGAGACCCCCAGATGACACTTTCAGCTTCACATCCTGGTCTAGGAGACGGTCACAACCCTGTTGGACACATGTAAAGGTACCGTTTTTCCCCGTGACGCCACATCCCCAGCCCGTGCCGACACGCATTGCTCTGCTCTGGCTGCTCAGCCCCCTTCCCTCAGCACCAGCCAAGGTCCTGCTTCATTTAGCTGGAATCAGGGGCTTGCACATGTCCAAGGCACTGGCACAGCTTGCCCAGAGAGGCAGGGGACACTCCATCCCTGATAGTGTTCGAGGCCAGGTTGGATGGGACATGGAGCAATGTGGTCTAGTGGAAGGTGTCCCTGTCCATGGCAGGGGATTGGAAGGAGATGAGCTTTAAAATCCCTTCCAACCCAGACCATTCCATGATTCTTTGTGCATGTCTTGTGCCCTGTGGATGCCCAAAGCCTCTGGCCCAGAGGAGGGGTGGGATGGGGGTTTCAGTGCTCTCCCCACCCTGAGTGAGCTCATCTCTGCTCTGCATCTCCCAGACCTGCCCCAGCTGGCTACTGGAAAGCAGCAGCTCCTTTCCCTTGTGGCTCTATGGGAGGGAATGGGCAGGTTCCAGAAATGCTGAGAGGGTCAGAGAAGGTAAAAATCCTGCACTGGAACTGCAGCAGGCACAGGCCCTGAGGGGCTGTCCCCATTTCTGGGGAAACCCTGTGCTTGGCCAGGAGCAGCCGAGCCTGTTTATCCCAGTGGTGCAGAGATGCTGGAGGGCGTTGAGCAGACCCAGGAGTGGTGGATCAGGAGCTGATCCCACCAGCACTGCATGGAGGGGCCACAGTTCCCTCGCTGTCCCCTGTCCCAGTGGGTGCCTGGGGGTGGCCTGACCCAAGCAAAGGCAAAGCTCATGTCCCAACTCTGCTGCAGCCCCGTGGGCTGACTCCTGCAGGGACAGGCTGCGGCAGGAGCCTCAGGGTCCCCCTGCAAGGAGCACAGGTTTATTCTTATTTGGATTTCCATCACCTCAGGCTCTTTTTTTTTAATTTTATTTTAGTTGTAGGTCTCCCTGTTCCTCTGGCTACAGAGATCTGTAGGAAGAAAGCCCTCGGTGTGACCTGCAACCTTCTTGAACCATGGACTGTAGTACTGCTCATACTGACACACGCAGACGGATCCTGGTGTGACGTAAGGGGTGGAAAAAAAACACTTTGTCAAAAACAGAACGGAAACAAAAAAATTGCCTTAAGTATAAAGTGCAGAACAGTCAATACATATCACTCAGTTAGGAGGGGGTGGCGTGTTCTCTTGGCTTGTTCACAAGCAGCCAGCAGCAAAATTGTGCCTAAGCTTGATATTTCTTTTTTTTTTAAAAAAAAAAAAAAAGAACATTAGTTATGAGATTTTTTATGTAGAACAAATAGCAATGCCTTTTGGGTTTTTTTTAGCTTCTTTTGCATATGTTTTGTAAGCGACGAAAAGAATTTTTTTTTTTTGTATAAAAACATGTCTTGTACCCTCCGCTTTTCTGCTGCTGTTTCTATAGTTAACGTTGCATCTTTAGGATCAACCAGAATATTAAAATTGTATTAAGAGAGACTGGATATAAAGAGAGGAATTCTCAGATTCGGCTCGGAAAGCCACTAAAAGCGAATGTAGCCACAGCAAGGGGATGTTCTTCCTTGCCTGGCTTGTACCTTCCATGACAAAAAAAAAAACAAACAAACTCACGTGCTGAATTCACCATCTCTTTTGCTTCGGCCACTTCTGATTTGGGAAAAGGAAGTTAAACAGCAAAGCAAGCGGCAGCAGCGCCCCTTGCTCCTCCCGGGAGGCGACCGAGGTGCTCTGCGAGGTTTGCTTTATTCCTGGAGATCTGGCGTGGCACAGGAGGTGCCCCACGGCTGTCCCGGAGCTGCCGGGAGGGAGCAGGGGTGGAAGAGACCCAAGGCACTGGGGCACTTCCAGGCAAAGCGGAGCGGGAACACGGATGCCCGAGGAAAGCCCGAGGTGGAGGGAAGAGCCTCTTCCCCACACGCCTGAGCTGTCGGAGGCAGTTCCAGGAGCAGCGCTGAACAAAGACCGAGTGAACAAAGCTGGAGCACTGGGAAGAGGCGGAGGCAGCAGCAGAACATGGGGCCAGGCAGCCCGGTATCCGGGGCAGGAAGAGACCTGGAACGTGGGCTCACTCCAGCCCTTGGCAAGCCATGACCAGCAGCAGGATCCCTTCTCCCTGCACTGGAGTCACCGCCACTGGAAGTGGAAAACACCACAGGCTCGGGGAGAGGGGCCTCACACTCTGCTGTCACCTCCTGTCACATCTCCAGGGCATCCTTGGAGGCAGACTGAGCTCGGCACGGGCTTCCCGTGGGGATGTGAGTGGTAACTTCACCTGCCTGCGGGCTCCTCTCCGTGCTGGGAAGGAGGGAAGCGGGAGCACCTGCCCTGCAGGACGTGCTCCAGCAGCCAAGCTGGGCCAGCCATGCCCCACTGCCAGGGATTCCCAGTGCTGCTCCAGAGTGCTCAGCAGGAGGAAGATCCCTGGCAGCCCCACTGGGTGGCACAGAGAGGTGGAGCAAACGAAGAGGTGCTGGGCAGTGCTGAGCTGCAGCAGCCGTTCTGGAGGTGGCCATGGAAAAACATCCGCCGGGAATTTACTCTGGTTTCTTCCCTCTCCTTCCCCTTCTGAAACGTTCTGTGCCTGGTTCCTCCCAGCTCTGCAGGCAGATGGGGCAGTTCCCCAGGGAGTGTGACATCTGGAATGTTCTTGGACTGGGGCCACAGCTGCCCAGATGTGCCTGGCAGAGCCCAGTCAGACAGGACAGTGCTGGCCTGGGGGGGACGTGGGGACGATGAGTACGGTAGGATCCCCCCTCTCCCCTACAGGGTCCATCTCTCCCCTCTGCTGCTCCAGCCTTTGCTCCTGGGGAAGCTGTGCTGCTTTGGCAAAGGGAAGGACTGGCAAACAGGACTGGGTTCTGTAGCACTTCCCAGCAATCCCGGGCTTTGGCATAACCTCCTGGTGCTCCTCTGTGCTCGTGGCTGCACTTTGTGCTCTGGCAAACCCTGCTGGAAGTGCTTATCTCCCACCTCACCTGGGCACCGTGGCCTCAGCTCCAGCAGCATCTCTGAGAGGAGCCAGTCCAAGTGCCAGGGCAGCACTGGGACTGTCCCCTGCCTTGGGGCTCCACAGCATCCACCCTTAGCTCTGAAGCTTTCGGGTGCTCCTGGCTTTCCCCAGCTTGCTGCTCCCACCATTCCTTCTGTGTGGGGAGACCTGAGACCACAGCAGCCCCCAGCTGTGTTCCCAGGAAGGCCAGGAAAAGTCAGCAGTTCCAGCAGCCCAGGTTCTTCTTGCCTGTGTCAACAGACTCATTTTAGCCTAATTAGCTCGCCAGGTTATGACACTTCCCTCCTTTGGGTTCTTCTGGCTGCTGAATCACGGGGCAGTGAGATAGATGAGGTTTCCCTCCACGTGTGACAGTCCTTGACTCCCATTCGTGCTCTGGGGTTCAAATGTGGGGGCTCAGCAGCTGCTTTTTGCAGCTGTGAGAGGTGGCTTCATCCCATGAGAATTCCTGCGCCATGGGTGGGACAGTGATGGGACTGCAGGGCTTTCACTGCCCAGGGTTTTCAGCTGGCTCAGTGCCCCTGCCCCAGGAGTGGGAGGGATGGAGCAGTGTCCCAGATCTGGCAAGCCTGAAACCCTACAAAAAAAATTTAAAGTGCTTCCCAAACCCTTTGATTCTGCCACAAGAATTGAAGGCAGCAATCGTGGACAACTGGACTTACAGAGACTAGTCAAGAAAAATCCAGAAACTCAACAAAATTGGAAATTTGAGAAGATTCATGAGTTGTTCAAAATTTTTCCTGAACTTCTTCATCCCCTCCAAGTCCTGCAGGCCAGGGGGGATTCGTGATAAGCCAGAGCCTTTCCCACCATCCCCAAACTCCCAGGCATTGTGACAGAGATGGGGCTTTTCAGCTGCATTGCAGTGGTTGAGATGCTGTTTTCTTGATGGCAAACCCAGGCAACTTCCTTCCTTGGCAAGGCCTGGGTGAAGATCCTTGAGCACAAACCCTCTAGAGCCAGGATTTGGAGGAGATCTGGGTTCCTCCAGCTCAAAAGCACAGTGTGGGGGTGGCAGTGCTGTGCCACCTTGATGGCACGGCTTTGTGTGCCAGCCCAGTGTGGCCTCGGTGGCATCTCTGCTTTCCAAGTGCTACAGGGCAATTGGGAAGTGCAGCAAGGAAAAATTCCTTTGGCTTCCCAGCGTGTTTGGTTCGGTATGAATGAGGTGCCTGTAACCTGCCAGGGAAAGTGGCTGTTCTAAAAATGAGCACTATCGGGTGCAGTCCCCAAAATACCACCCTGAAATGTCACCCTGTGGCAATGAAACTCTTTTCTTTAGGTGTCATGCTCACTGAGGGACAGGTCAGGGCTGTGCTGGCATTCCACTTGGGATCTTCACAGATCCCCAGACCTGCTTCTCTGCCTGCCTGCATGTCCCCCACACCCATAGTGCTGCCAAGAGAGGTGTCCCAGGTGGGTGACAGACTGTAGAGTGCCATTTATTCAGTTTTCTGCTTCCTCTCTCAGCCCTGCATGCACAGGTGCTCCTGGGCCACCTGCCCCTCCTCGCTGGGGGCCACAGAGCCCCCCCAAAGCTTCCATCATCAGACAGGGGATCGAGGGGCTGCCTTCCCCTCTGTGCAGCTTCTAGTTTCTCTTTTCCCAGGCTGTATCCCAGTCAAGCAGCAGAACTGGATTCCCATCTGCCTTGGGACACTCCTTATGTGGCAAGGACAGTCCTGGAGTGCAGTCCTGGGGTCCCCAGCCCCAGGGGTCTGCCCTTCCTCCCCCCCAGCCAACCCCCTGCCTCCCTGCATGAGCTGTTCGTGCCACGGTGCTGAGGAGTGTCTGGAATCCGGTTTATTAACAGTGAGATTGCAGGTATTTGTTCTTTCTCCCTTTTCACCTCCTTTTACCCCAGAGCAAAGCAGCTGCAGCCCCCCCAGGTCTTTACCTTCCTGGGCTTGTGCTGGGGCAGTGGTGTCAGCCTGCCTGCTCCTGCTGCTCCTGCTCCTGCTGTTGATGTTGCTGCTGCTGCTGCTGCTGCTGCTGCTGCTGCTCACAGCCCAGGGAGCAGAATTCCAGCTGTTTGCAGCCACCTTCCTGCCACCACTCCCTAGTCAGACCAACTCACAGCCAAGCAACTGCGGTTCCAGGGTCAGTGCAGAACCTGCTCTTGAAGGTCCTTTGTGCTCCCCCAGTGTCCCCACTGGAGCCAGCAGAGCCTTTGGGCCCTCGGCCCTCATGGAGTGATTCCCCACATCCTCCCCTCAGCTGGTTGGGGGGGGCTTGAGAAACAAGAGGTTTTGGAACCCCCAACCCCTGCACCCCCTGAGCTTTGCTGCCAACTTTGGGGCCAGTGGAGCCCAAGATCCTCTTGCAGGCCCTGCTCTGTTCTAGTGAGGACTCTGGGCCAGCTCCAGTCTCAGCAAAGCCCTGGCCTGGGCTTTGGGATGTGAAGCAAAGCTGGGGCTGGAGTTGGGCCAGGACAAGCCATCAGCCCCTCCTGCAGTGCTGGCTAACCCAGAGCAAGCTGTGCCCACTGGACTGCCCCGTTCCTGCCCGACACCAGCAATAGCAAGGCCTGTTTTCTGTCCCCCAAGCTTGCACAAGGTCTTTGCCCTGTTAAATCCTATGCAACCCCCTCTCCTCTCACCAGGACTCTCCAGGTCCCAGCCCAGCCCATTCTCTCTGCCCTTGTCCCATGACTGCTGAGTTCTCCCTCCCTGCTGCTCTCAGAGTCCACCTTTATTTCTAGCAGCTCCAAAAGCATTCCAAGTCCTGTGCCCTGGAGCTGGGAAGGGGTAGATGAGGGCTGAGACCGCAGGAACACCTCTTCCAAGTCATTCTGTGGGAGCTGAGCACTCAATTGGAGGGGGCAAGGCCTGGGGCCCCCCCACACCCCCTTCACCCTCCCGTGCCTTCTGCTCGCTGCCATCCTTCACCCCCCTGCCCTGAAGGGAGAAGTTGAGTCCCACCACGTTGCTGCCCGGGCTGTTCTCTTAACACCTGAGCCTCAGGCTTGGCTTGGCTGCTCCCCCTTCAGCCCCCCCAAGCCTGAAGGAGTGTTTCCCTGTCTCCCCTGCTCCTCAGTCTCTCCAGCCAGCACCTCTGAGCTGTTTGCCTTTGCAAGGGGTCACCAGCTGGGGTGGAGGCAGGAGGATTCAGGAGGTCAGTCCCACACCATGGCTGCCTCTCCCTGCAGGTGTGGGGGGATCTGGTGCTCTGTACTTTGGTTTTCAGGGCAATTCAGCCCTTCCTGGGAGCCAGCCCTGCCATGCCTTGGCCTGCAGGACTCCCACAGGAGGGTGGGCTCTGGTTAGGAGGGTGGTGCAGTCTCCAGGTGTTCTGCCAAAACCTTTTGTGCCCGTCCTGCAGCCCAGCCCAGGGCAGGAGGCAGTCCTGCTGTGCTCTCCTCGCTGGTATTACTGTTCCCCTGGCTTTGTCCATCTCCTGCTCCTTGGGGCTCTCAGGTCCCACCCTGGCCCAGCCAAGCACCTGCCATGATGGAGGGCCAAAGTTTGACACTCCCCCCGCTCCATCTCATCTCATCTCATCTCATCTCATCTCATCTCATCTCATCTCATCTCATCTCATCTCATCTCAGCTGTGGCACCAGCACAGGAGAGCAGAGGGGCTTTTTTGCTTCCAAACGGGGTGTTCTGGTACCAAGAGCATCCCCACGCCCTGCATGCCTGGGCTGTGCTTGGGTCAGCCCTGCTGCTCCTCGGGGCAGCAAGCTGGGACACCACAGGTCCCCCTTCCCAGTGCCATCCACGTCTTCCCAAATCACTCAGACCCACCAGCTTTGGAGCAAACCTTGGAACGTGGGGCCTCTTGGGCAGGGAAGGAGCCGCGGGAAGCCTCGCACCAGCCGTGGTGACTGTGCCAGGAGAGGGGAAAGAGGCACCTGGAGAGGCAGGGGGTGATCCTGGGGGTGATCCCAAGCCCATGCTTGGGAATGACCCGTTGGGAGTGGAGGGCTCCAGCTCTTGGGAATGACCCGTTGGGAGTGGGGGGCTCCAGCTCGCTGGGGAAACAAAGCATTCTTGGGATGCTCTTTCTCTATATTTTTGTAGGATGGGGGGTGGGAGAGCAGATGGGAGATGCCTGCGGAAGTTGTTTATTTTTAACCCTGGTTGGTTTTGGTTTTTGGCCTTTAAAAAAAAAAAAAAAAAAGAAATGGTCCTTGCTTTTGATGTTTATGCTGCCTACCTGTAAATCCAGATGTACTTAAGTGGCTGAAATCCTTGTTCTTAAATCAGATACACATTATAGTTTTGAACTATATATATAGTAAATATATATATATATATGCCTAACCCAGCAAAAAAAAAAAAAAAAAATAAAGTATTTGGGGGTGGGAAATGCGTTGCTCTTTGAAATGAATCACAATTGGGGGATGAAATTGTGTTTCTGAGTGCCTCAAGATATGAATTGTTTTCATTTTTTTAAATAATTTTATACAAGTGTCAAAACAGCTGGCTGGATTATTTGGAATTTTTAAATAATCCTAACTTTTTTAAAGTAGATTTTGAGAACTGTCCTGTATATAACAGTAATGTAGCAATAAATGTGACATTTTATAACAATATTACTTTTTTTTTCCCCCATGTCTGTCTTTCAGATGTTGTATTCCTAGGAATAAGAAGTTGGAATAAAAAAAAAAAAAGAAAGAAAGAAAACACCAGACAGGTTTTCAGACACTTGCTCTGGGCACAGGTCCTGCGTCAGCTCTGGCACAGCTGGAATGGTTTGGGTTGGAAGAGACCTTAAAGTCCATCTTGTTCCAACCCCTGCCATGGGCAGGGACACCCTCCACTAGACACATGCACTGGGAATGTGGCCTCTGGGGAGGGTTTCCAGCCCTTTCCATCACTGTGGGATCAGGGCACCGTTTCCAACACCATCAGGAAGGCTCTGGAGGTGCTGGGCCCTCCCTGGTGCAGCACAGCCTCTCCCGTGGCTCTGCTGTGCTCAGTGGGCTCAGCCCTGTCCTGGAGAGAACCCAGTGGAAGTGGCTGCCCCCAGGAGTTCATTCAGCACGGACTGGTGGTGGTGATTCACGGAATCACAGAATCATTCAGACCTTTTAAATCATCAAGTCCCACCATCAACCCAGCACCGTGTTCAGCACTAACCCAGGTCCCCAAGTGCCACCCCCACACACCGCTTGGGCACTTCGAGGAATGGAGGGCTTGACAACCCTTTCCATGAAGAATTTTTTCCTAATGCCCCACCTAAACCTTCTCTGTACAACTTGAGGCTGTTCCCTCTTGTCCTGTCCCTTGTTCCCTGGGGGAGCAGAGCCTGACCCCCAGACCTCCACCCTCCTGTCAGGGAGGGAGCAATAGCAGTTGCAGAGAACGTGGCAGAAGGTTCAAGAGGGCTCAAACCCTGCAAGAATGGGATGCATCCAGTACTGGGAGACAGCCCAGCCTCGCAGGTTCTCACTCTCCCACCCCCATCCGAGGGGTGAGGGTGAATAGTTGGGTCTCTGTCACTCTGTGCCAAGGGCCCGGCCCCAGCCCCTCACACCCCTCACTGTGCTGCCCTGCCCAGGCTCTACCTGCCCTCATCCTCCACTGCCAGCTTGTCTGTGGGATAAACAGAGACGGGGCAGCTGCACCCAGGAGCACTGAGCTCTGCAGACCCTCTCCGAGCCCCCGGCTCCAGTGGGGAGGTGCTGCCTTGGAGTAGGGTGGGAAGGAAGGTGAGAGCTGCTGGAATTGCTGCTGGACACCGGGCACCATTCCTGTGGGTTTGCACAGGGAAGCCCAGGAAGCATCTGCAGCCCTGAGGCTTTGGCAGTGCATCCACCAGCCTCAGGCAGACAAGCACTTCAAGCTCTAACATCCTGTGGGATTTTCACAGAATCCCAAAATGGTTTGAGTTGGAAGGAACCTTAAAGCCTATCTTGTTCCACCCCCTGCCTTGGACAGGGACACCTTCCACTAGACCAGGTTGCTCTAAGGTCTGTCCAACCTGGCCTTGGACAGCCTTTTCCAGCATTCTTCCTGTAGGTTCACAAGAGGCTGAGCAGGCTCAGAGCAGAGCCCTGGGAACCTTATGGAACTGATGGTGAATTTAGGACCCTCTGCTGAAAAATCTGGCTGGAAGCTCCCTCTCCTGTAGGGAGAGGCTGAGCAGCCGTGACAGGAGGGTTTGTGGAGGCACTGACAGGCACTGGGGAAACCTCTCTGGGAAGGGACCACTACCCTTCAGCACAGAGAGTGGGAAGCAGTCCCAGCTCACTGAGGGGACAGTGCCACCCCTCAGGGCTTGTGTCCTCCCTCCGGTGTAGGGACAGCCCATCACCTCGGGGCTGGTGTCTCCCCTTCAGCATGGGGACATCCCGTTGTTATGACCCGCCCCAGAAGGCAAAGGTAACCCAGGTTCTTGCTAATAGATCCCTTGGGGATGGATTAGAGTGAAACGACACTGAATGATCAGTGTTTGTAAATATATATATATGTGTGTAGTTTGTTTTAGAACAATTTTGCGTCAAAGAAAAACAGGTATGTAGCCATTTTGGTGGTTGTAATCTATAGTAATAGAGCAATATTAAAGCATAAAAATAACACTTAGGAAAACGTATAAGGGAGAGAAAGAGAAAGAAAGGATGAGAAAGAGGTGGTCTTGATCCATTGAGGGTGGGGGAACTCCACAAAACTCAAAGATTTCAAGAGTTATATGAGTTCCCACTCAGGCTCAGGTGGGAACACCTTCTACCTCTTCCCGGGGTGGGGAGTTTTAAAATGGATGATGTAATACTGGATCATGGGACACGGCATGAGCCTTTGACACCTTCTGAAGATATTACAGCTGCCCATTATGTCAGAATCAATCATGACCCGTTAGGGTCCATCATCCGAGATGAATAGCTCAGGGTAGGTGTGAATGTCTTCGATGCTCCCCAGAGGGGTTTCCACAGCAGAGTCATCAGGTAAGGGAGGACATTGGCATGATAAGAAGGACTACCCCACTTCGGAGGATTTGCCTTTTAATTAGCCTCTTCCCTTATCTGGAAATCCAGTTTGTAGCTTCAGGTATGGAGGCCCTTCTGCACCTGGGGTAGTTGGACAGTAGTACCCCCTTATCTTACCTCAAGGTCCTTTAGCAGTTCAAATTAGGAGGCGTATTCAGGGAGGGGTGGGCTGCTGGACGAGCAGCTGCTTCTTTGCAGTTTGCTAGAGTGGACAAAAATCTTTTGGTGATCTTAACATGCTTAAGACATTAACCCTTGCAGTCTCTGACACCTGTCCCCTCGGGGCTCATGTTCCCTCTCCAGCATGGGGACAACTCAACCCCTCAGGGCTCATGTCTCCTCGGGGTTTGGGTCCCCTTCTCCAGCATGGGGACAGCCCACCCCTCAAGGTTCGTATCCCCTCAAGGTTCATGTCCCCTCATGGCTCATGTCCCCTCATGGCTCATGTCCCCTCAGGGCTCATGTCTCCTCAGGGTTCGTGTCCCCACTCCAGTGTGGGGAGAGCCCATCATCCGCTCCAGGCTCGTGTCCCCTCAGGGCTCGTGTCAGGGCCGGTGTCCCTTCTCTGGTGCAAGGACAGTCTGTCCCCTCACGATTTGTGTCTCCTCAGGACTTGTGTCGCGGCTCTTGTCCCCTCTCCAGCGTGGGGACAGCCATCACCCCCTCAGGGCTCGTGTTAGGGCTGGTGTCCCCTCAGGGTTCGTGTCCCCTCAGTCCTCCTGTCAGGACTCGTGTTGCCTCTCCGGCGTGGGGACAGCCCACCCACTCTGGGCTGGTGTCCCCTCAGGGCTCACGTCAGGGCTCTTGTCCCCTCAGTCCTTGTGTCCCCTCAGGGCTCGTGGCAGGGCTGGTGTCCCTTCCCCGCCGTGAGGACAGTCCGTCCCATCGCCCCTCCCGCTTTGTGTCGCCTCAGGACTTGTGTCGGGGCTCTTGTCCCCATCAGCCCCTCAGGCTTGTGTTAGGGCTGGTGTCCCCTCACGCCTCGTGTCCCCTCATGTCTCGTGTCCCCGCTCCACACGGAGAACACCCCGGACCGGTCTCCTCCAGCCCCCTCAGGGTGCTCCGGAGCCGCCTCCTCCCGCCGCGCCTGCTCGCAGCGGCCCCGCCGCCATCGCCGGCCCGCGCAGGCGCCGCGGGGGTGACTTTGAGGCCGCGCCATGTTGAACCAGCTGCTGGGGCCGCGCTACGTCCAACTGCTGCAGAACTGGTGAGGGGGCACCGGGGAATGCCAGCCCGGACCGCGGCTGTCCGCCCGCCGAGCCCGGTCCGCCCGCCCGGCCCCGGGTCCGCCCGCTCACACCCGGGGTCTGCCCGCCCACCCCGGCCCGGAGTTTGCCCGCTCGGGGCGGGTGTGAGGGGCTGAGGGGGTGTGAGGAGGGGCACGAGGGAGATGAAGGGGCTCCCTGCCCGCCTGGCTGTGGCTGCATTTCATTTTTTAATTTTTTTTTAAAACGTCTTTTTTTTTTAACACAGCCTTTACAGGGCTGTGTGTGAGGCAGAACGAAGCGGTGTGCGGGGCAGAACAAGGGGATTGGCCGCCCTGAGGGCTAATGCTGTGCTGTGTATGTCAGGTTGTTTCAGTATTTCACTGTATGGTTTGTGCGCTGCAATACCAGAAGGATATATAGGTGTTGAAGAGCGTCCAAAGGAGGGGACAGGGAGCTGGGGAAGGGTGTGAGGAGCAGCTGAGGGCACTTGGCTGGCTCAGCTGGAGCAGAGGAGACTGAGGGGAGACTCCTCGGGGGCTGCAGCTCCTCCCGAGGGCAGGCGGAGGGGCAGGCGCTGAGCTCTGCTCTGGGACCAGGGACAGGAGCCAGGGAAGGGCTGGAGCTGTGCCAGGGGGGTTGGGATGGATCTCAGGGAAAGGTTCTTCCCCCAGAGGGTGGTGGGCACTACCCAGGCTCCCCAGGGCAGTGGGCACGGCCCCAAGGCTGCCAGAGCTCCAGGAGCGTTTGGACAACGCTCTGAGGGACAGGGGGGATTGTTGGGGTGTCCTGTGCAGGGACAGGGTTTTGAAATGACTTCTCAGGTGCCTTGGCTATGAGTATCTGCCAGACAGCGGAGAAGGAATGTTGTTCACCTGCACGTGTGTCTGTTCTTTAGGACTCCCACCATTCTGACATGGGGTGGGGTGGCCGGTGTTGGGGTGATCTGGGCCACAGACTGGAAGCTGATCCTGCAGTACGTTCCCTACATCGGCGGCAAGTACAAAACTGAAGACTGAGCTTCCCTCTAATGGTAAGTTTTGTCTGTGCATCTCTTGGCTTAAGTAATAGAGTCATAAAATCACAGAATCCCAGACTGGTTTAGGTTGGAAGAACCTTAAAGTCCATCCAGTTCCAGCCCCTATCATGGGCAGGGACACCTTCCACTAGACCAGAGTGCTTCAAGCCCTGTCCAAGCTGGCCTGGAACACTTGAACACCATAATCCTGACAGTTGATGTTTCCTCTTTGTCTGGGAATGTTGCTCCAAAACCATGCAGGGTTTTTTTTGTTCAGAACTTTTTTCTAAATGGGGGCTTCACAGAATGCCAGAAGGATGAAATACTCATAGGAATATGTTTCTCGAGTGACTATTTTGCAAGTAGTGGGTTTCCACAATGTA